CTGTTAGCGAGTGGCACCTATGAAGGTCCTCCGGCACGGCACACGAGGGGGTGAATGGCCAGCACGATGCCCTGGCCGCCTTTGTCTCCCCAGTGGCGATGTTTACACATCGACACCATGTACAGTACTCGTTTGAGGCTGAGTCTAACTCGGGAAGGCCCAGGGCCGGTTCAGATAATGGTCATTGGTGCCGGCCGTGAGCCTGAACCGAACTCGGGTCGCCGGGTTCGTAGCGCAGTGCGCTAACCGCTGAGCCACCGCTCTACCAGCTACACACTAACACACACACAGTCTGTAATGTACTGCACTCGTGGGCAGCCAATTGAGATTCAAGGGTAATTACTTCGAGCGAGATTATTCTGCACATCCGACAGCGACACAATAGGATGTCATCTGATGAATATATTGAGTTCACATTGCACAGTGAAATAATAAGAATTCCGTTTTTGATTCACGCTCTAAATCAGCTCAAAATGCTTGGGTATATTGCCCGTGGGGGAGCGGTGGCGCAGTGATTAGCGCACTGCGCTACGAACCCGGCGACGCTCACGGCTAACATCGGTGACGCAATATCTTTACCTGTCCTGGGCCTCCCCTATTTGAACTCAGCTTTAAATGACGACCTGGTGTGGTGTGTAAACATCAGCACTGGGGAGACAAAGGTGGCCGGGTAGGGGGGGGTATTGGCCACATTAACCGTCGTGTGCCGTGTTGGCCTTCATCGGTGCCCATTGACAGCACTTGCCCCAAGCAGCCTGTCAAAGGCTATACGGGGGACCTTTGTCTTTGCCGCTCCTTACTGTGCCACCGCACATGGGGAACAGCTCCGTTCAGCGTGAAATGGTTTCCTTTGGAATGAGGAACCAGAGCTTCTCCTGAGCCAGTGGAGGAAACTCTACATTCACATGTCCGGGGCCAGTCTATCCATGTATGTTATTACTCCGCTACTATACAAAGCACACATTTGGAAGGACACAAAAGTTGGAATCCTGCACTGGGGTAGAATTCAATGTGAAGCAGTCACGGTGATCGACGTCACTCGCTCACTTACTGGCGGTCAGCCACCTCCTTACCACTCTTCTATCGCTACTACAACTACTACCATGGTCACCGTTCACTCGTTGATTGATCCACCCGTGTTGAGGACTCGGTCTTCAAAGACTGATCGCTTCTTCTACAATGTGTTCAACCACCACACCGCAGGTCACACCACCACTCACTCGCTAAACAACTCACCAACCCACTCACCCACTCACTAATGCACTCACCAGCTTCATTAGGCGATAGCCAGATTCTGGCTGTTGATCTAATTTAAAAATACCTCTATAATGGATGATATTGGTCGCGATAGCCTGACGTGTGAAACAACAACAACAACGTGCGCTCACTGTACACACTTCTCAGACACACGTGGCCCCCAGTGTCGCCATTCTGAGACATTTGGTGGAATCAGACGCATCAGTTTGGCGGTGATGCACAAACAACAACAACAACAAGACCCACACGTTCGTCAATAACAACACCACCGCCGTATGCCCTGAAACGGACGCTAACACAATAGGAGACATTTCGGGCGACGGCCCCTTCTCAACAGCACGTAGACTCTTCCTCTCTGGCATCTCCATATGCTGTGAAGGGCCATTGCCCGAAACGTCGCTCGTTATATAATTCTTTATATTTAAGGATCACAAACGGTGTTATTGACGAATTTGTGGAGGTTTTTTTTGGGAGAAAATCTGTTTGCAGACACTCGGCGTTGTGTACACACGACAGCCGCCGACTGGGTCTGTAGAGCGGCGTTCTTCATTGCAAGGCTGCGGGTCACTGACGTGCAGCCCCCGACAATACACAACACGTGACAACACCCCCATCATCATCATCGTGCCGCTGTCACACCCCCCCCCCCCCCCAATGGTTTCAAATGCGTGGCGGCCCTCAACACTGACGATGATGTCTTATCGGCGAAAGAAATTAGTGAATTTCGAAGGGGGGACACTTAGACCATCCACAGCGGAGACAGTCCCACTTCTCAGGACACCGCACACGACGGAAGGAGACGACGCAGCGTTGTGGCTTCCAAGAGGGTCAAGGAGTCGGACGCACGCACGAGCTGTGACGAGAGAGAGAGTTCCAGACCCCGCGGGGTACAGCAGAGGAGAGGGAGCGACCTCCCACTGAGAGACGTTTGACCGACGGCTCTGACGAGCTGGATGTTAAGCACTTGTGGTGTGAGGCTCAGCCCGAGGATTATTCGCTCCAACGCGGAGGGATCTCACGGGACCCATGCGCATGAGCCGCGCGTGCGTGCGCGTGAGTGGGTGGGGAGCGGTGGTGCAGCGGTTAGCGCTACGCTGTGCTACGAACCCGGCGACCCGAGTTCGATTCCCGCTCACGGCCAACGCCAGCAACGATTATTTGAACCGGTCCTGGGCCTCCCCTAGGTCGACTCAGCCTAAAAACGAGTACCTTGTGCGATGTGTGAGCATCGCCACTCGGGAGACAAAGGCGTCCGGGCGTGGTGCTGGCCACCCACCCCCTCGTGTGCCGTTCCGGCCTCCATAGCTGCTCGCTAGCAGCACTTGCCTCAACAGCCTGTTAAGGCTATACGGGGGGATTTTGTCTTTGTAACGATGGTAGGGATCGATTAATCAATGCCGCCGCTGAAGCGTAAAACGTCAACAAAGGCGGTGGCCCCGAGTGCTCGTGGACGTCGCGCGACCCCGAGCCGCCGCCGCCTCCTGCGCTACGCCGCGCACTCTGCACAAGAGGACGACGCAATGACCCCTTCCATTGGTGTCCCTTTGACTGGTGCGGTGGGGAGTGCTTGGGAGCGGCGGGGAGCGACGGGGAGTGACGGAGAGTGCTTGGGAGTGATGGGGAGTGGCGGGGAGTGACGGGGCGTGGCGGGGAGTGATGGGGAGCGGCGGGGAGTGATGGGGAGTGGTGGGGAGTGCTTGGGAGCGGCGGGGAGTGATGGGGAGTGACGGAGAGTGGTGGGGAGTGGCGGGGAGTGATGGGGAGTGACGGAGAGTGGTGGGGAGTGGCGGGGAGTGACGGGGCGTGGCGGGGAGTGATGGGGAGTGGTGGGGAGTGCTTGGGAGCGGCGGGGAGTGATGGGGAGTGACGGAGAGTGGTGGGGAGTGGCGGGGAGTGATGGGGAGTGACGGAGAGTGGTGGGGAGTGGCGGGGAGTGACGGGGCGTGGCGGGGAGTGATGGGGAGTGGTGGGGAGTGCTTGGGAGCGGCGGGGAGTGATGGGGAGTGACGGAGAGTGGTGGGGAGTGGCGGGGAGTGACGGGGCGTGGCGGGGAGTGCTTGGGAGCGGCGGGGAGTGGCGGGCAGCTGATCAGCGATGGTAATGAACTCATTGCGCCGTGAATGATGAACACGCTTTCTGGCGTAAGTGCAGGCGCTAAGAAAATGTCCGATCGCACCTCCTGTCACGTTCTCTGTGTGTAACCCGAATCGTGTTGACCAGACATGGGAAAAGCACGGCCCGTTGGGCTTTTTAATCCGGCCAGCTGAACTTGTCCAAATATTATTATAATTAAATTAAATGTTACCTTCCTCCTGTAATGCCCCCATTGCCCCATCAGATTGCGCACTTTGACCTGAGTGTGGTGTTTCGGGCTCGAAAGGGCACATGATCTCGCCGTCAGCGCCAGTGTCAGGCTTTGTTGACATTGCTGAGTTCGATATGGTGCTCCCTTCACCTTGTCGCTTTGCCCTGTGAGCCCTTCTGTAAAATGAGCGGATCAAGGAAACGAAAAGTGGACAATGAGTGCCGAGTGTTTAAAAGGAGTGGACAGCAAAATATTTTTTCACTGAAGTCCAATCGAAGGCTGTATGCCTGATATGCCGAAAAACTGTCGCAGTTTTCAAGGAGTACAACATCAGCCGTCACTTTGCTACGAAGCATGCTGACTACGCGAGCAAGCAGTCAACGCAAGAACGGGCGGCTACGGCTCAGAGGTTGGCGGCTAATTTACAGACTCAGCAACATTTTTTTCACCGACAAACTGCGATTCAAGAGTCAACTACCAAGGCAAGTTTTTTGGTGGCATTCGAAATAGCAAAGGCTGCTAGCAAGCCTTTCTCCGAAGGCGAGTTTGTAAAATAATGCATGGTACAGACAGCAGACATCTTGTGTCCGGAGATCAAAAGCAAATTTTAAAAAGTCAGTTTATCACGCAGGACTGTGACTCGCCGTGTGGAACTGATTGATGAAAATATAGCTACTCTTGACTATAATTAAACACTTTTGAGACTAAAAAAAAAACACAGGTCCCGAAGATCGCATTGCGCGTTGTTTGCGCAATTAGTTTTTTTTCATCGGGAAAATATAAACAGAACTCCGTTTTGTGTCTATGAATATAATTGCAATGTGTCTTTACTGTGATAATGGGTCCTTACTGAAATCGGGCACTCCTAGACCCCATACGCCGGCGCGTCCCAGAGCGCCACCATCTCAAACAATTGGATGGGCACCCCCAATGGTGTCGAGAATCACCCTGCCTCTGCAGTGAAGGCGGTCGGCAGGGCGCGTGTTGGTGGTGGGGTAAAGTGTGGGTAACTCCCACCTCTTCCGAGACGTCCGGCTAGTTTGGAAGAGTAGGCCAAATTTCCATCGATGGGGGCTCTCTGGAGCTCCCTCTCGTGGCGGTTCTTCCGCCACAAGGTGCAGGAACAAGCAATTCCAGGGCTGCATCGTTACCTGCTGCTTGCTGCTGTGTCTATCTTGTCATAAACCGGTGTTCTTCATCCCAAGGCCCACGGGACACTGGCGGTCCCTGGTGGCCTTTAGTGCGGCCCCCGACACTACACAAATGGTGAAAACACTCCCCAATCATCGTGCTGCTGTCAAACACCCAATGGTTTCAAATGCGTGGCGGCTCTCATACTGACGTCCTATCGGCCTCTCTCTGAAAAATGAGTGAAGAGCACTGCCATGTAACGACCCTAACCGCGCGTCTTGTCTCTCCCCCACCACGCGCCCATCAGCAACCTCCTTACTCGCTCCAAAAGCGCCTGCTGGAAACTCACCTCTCCAAGCTGCGCTCCGACCCGCACGCTCCGCTCACCGCCTCTTCCACCACGGAGCCCGCTCAGCTCGCCTCGACCCAGCACACCCAAGCGCCCACCTCCGAGACCCCTTCTCCGACCCCTACCCCGACTCCGACCCCCGAGACCCTCACCCCGACCTCCGAGACCATCGGGGTCCCGTCTCTGGAAATCCTCACTGCGGTCCACGAAACCATCGCTCTGCTCCCGAAATCCGTCGTGCCGGCGCTGGAGATGCTGTCCTTGGTGGTCGAGACGAAGGCCGCTGCAGCCGTTCCCCTGTCGCCCGTGCTGGAGAGCCAATCGTCCCGCGAGGAGAGGGAAGAGGCGGCCACTCGCGAAGAAGAAGAAGGAGGAGGAGGGGGAGCGCCCTCGCACGACTCGCTCCGCGTGCGCTGCAAGGTGACGCGCCGGGGGGTGGGGGGTGGGAGGGGATCGTGGTCCGTGCGTTTGTTGCTGGCGCGGTCGCCCTTGTTAACAACCTAACTGCGAGTGAGTGAGTGTGTGAGTGTATGAGTGTGTGAGTGAGTGAGTGTATGAGTGTGTGAATGTATGAGTGTGTGAGTGTATGAGTGTGTGAGTGTATGAGTGAGTGTGTGAGTGGGTGTGTGAGTGTGTGAGTGGGTGTGTGAGTGAGTGTATGAGTAAGTGTGTGAGTGGGTGTGTGAGTAGTCCGGCAAAAACAACTTCCTACATGGTCCAGACCTCATCAGAGACCCTGGCTGACAGAGAAGGTGTTCAGGCTGGCTGAGAAAAAGCGACAGGCCCACTCTCATCGTCTACAGCATCCCACGTCAGGTTCGGAGAGCCTTGAGGCGCTGCAAGGATGGTTGGTGGTCGCGGGTTGCTGAGGAGATGGAGTCTGCCTCAATGGCCCGCGATCATAAATCGCTCTTTAATTCCATCAGGAAAGTAACCTGCAGCACCACGCCTATTACCATCATGAGGGTAAAGAAGCGGTGATCCAATCTCCGACCCCCAGGAACAGGTTTGCAGATTTGCTGAGCATTTCTGTGAGGTCCTGGGGGATGGGAGATGCCTAAGCCTGAAAAAGTCGTGGGACAAAGTGGGGATGACCCACTTTGTCCCTATTGCTCAACCGATTATCTGGTAATTGCTGCTCACTCAGATGAGGAGTTGGAGGTGCTGCTGCTGCTGAACCTGGAGCTTGCCACTAAGAGGTGGAGACATCATCAGCCCCTCCAAAACTAAGCACTGCCTGGGTATTTCGTACCATTGGACACTCCACCCCCACAACTCCCAATCGGTGATAAGGCAGTTGTGGAGAGAGTGGAGAGTTTCCCATTCCTGGCCAGTGTGCTCATGACCGGCTCCAGTTTGACAGCAGAGGTCTCACTCCTGAATCAGTCGAGCGACATTATCTTTTCATCGGTTGCATAACGCTGTGTGGAAGCTACTTGGTCTGTCGCTCCGCACGAAGGGGGTGAAGACAAAAACTGAACACAAAAAGCCGGCCAATGCCACGTACACCTCGTGGCACAAATGGGCACCTGCCACTGAGGGTCCCCCTGCGGCAGGGCGACTGGAGACATACGGCATGGGTGGCGCGGTATGAATCAACGAACAAATGATCTCACGTGGCAGAGCACGTGGGAATGTATCGCTGCCCTCTGCAGCGTCGACCAGAGGTCAGGTGAAGAGATCTGAGCCGTAGCTCTGTGACGTCCGCTTCTTCTCTCTAGCATGGAGGGTGATGGCACTGCCCTCTGACAGTGGATTTGTTTTCATCCCGTGACGCCCCGAGCGGGCGAGGGCTCTGTAGACCCTGCTCGTTGACCAGAGCGCAGAGGGTAGAGCCGTGCGATACGTCAGGGAATTTTTCAGGCAATTGTTGTCTGCAATATTAATCGGCAACTGTGGCAGCTTGGTACGCCAATGAGGCAGTTGGGGAGTTCTGTTTAGAAAACAAAAGACAAGTTGGCTCGGCGACTATTGGCGGTCAAAATTGCCTCGACAATTTCCCTGGTTTACCGCGGCATTAACAAGGTCACGGCGACCTCGAGACCATCCCGTACGAGCGCTCCGCGGAGCACGATGCATGCTCTATACTTTGAGCGCCATCCTCTCTCGCATGGCGTGCCTTTTATTCAACGAGGCTTTCCTCGATACATCAATTACATCCGTGATAATATCGTCATCATTATTATTATTGTTGTAACGACGCAGTTTGCATGGTGAGGCCGGTGAGTCGTCGCCTGGCACCCGGGCCTCTCCGGAGGCTCACGAGCCCCGGTGCAGTTGCACCGCCTGCGCACGGGGCAGCTACGCCGCTGTGGGGTGCGTGTGGGTGTGGGGTGGGGGCAAAAGATCAGCAGTTGGGGATAGGAAGAGAGGGCTTCGGAAGCACCGCGCATCGACCACGTATCGACCGCGTATCGACCGCGTGTTAACCGCTCGTTTGCCGCTTCGTTTGCCCCCCCCCCTCCCCCTGGCCGTGTGTTGCGGCTTGCAGTGCTCCGGCGGGGACGCGACGGCCGCGCTGTGCACGACGCGCGCCGCCAACCTCGTCTCCCACGCGTGCGCCAAGCGGCTCCGGTGAGTGGTGGTCGGCAATCGCCGGGCGACGCTCGCGTCGGCCGCGGTGCTCTCGAGCGCGGGGCATCCGCTTCAGCTCCGTTAGAGGCCAAAATGACAAGAAAAATATATAATTTTGAACGAACAATAAATAAATAAAAGTTGCGCACCCGCGGAAGTGAAAAAAAAACACGAAATAATTTCTGCGGCTTGACGAGGACGTCTCGGCTGTGACCGTTTACTCGGAGGGAATTGCCCGCGACGTTAAACGGCGCGGGATGGAAGAGCCTCGGTGGGATTTTAAATTGGATGAACCCCGACGGAGGAGGAGGGGGAGGAGGACGAGGAGCAGGAGGAGGAGCAGGAGGAGGAGTCAGATTCCCTTTGCCGACCTCTCTCCGCTCACTGTCAAGCGCCCTTCCCCACCAGGCCGACCTGTTTGGGGCTCTCTGCCACCCCCCCCATTCTCGACCCATTGCTTCTGAAAACAAAACAAAAAGGAGGCCCCTTGCGACCACGAGATGCCCGCCCTGCCGCCCCTATTCATGAGCAGCTGCACTTACAAAGTTGTCCTACCGCGTAAGTTTGCGAGCTGCGTGGCTCTCGGCACGTGCGGCCGTGACACTGTGCGTACGACACGCGGCACGGCCTGAAAGCGCATTGGAGCGTTGTTACAAATCCGCGCGACGCACGCCTGGACGAATATAGCCACGCTCACGGGGCCCTGAAGCTCACCACTGACAGCAGATCAAGCGGACGTCGCTCACTTACCCCTGCCGGAGACCTTATGATCGCCCTCGCCTATCCTGTATCCATCACATCCATCACACGAGTTCCGCGCCTGCTGCTGCCAATGAGCCTTGAGACGAGGTCATCCCCAGAGGGCTTCGCGGATCGATGCAACGGCCGCGTGACCTGACATTGCCCGAATGCCGAAAACAAACTAAATATAACAGGGCACGTTCCAGGCAACGCCCCCGTACTCCTTCAAAGCCGCTCATTCGTAGCGGAGACAACGAAGAGCCACACGTGGCAGGGCATCGCATGTCTAGCGACGACAGCGGGAGATGGGCTTTTGCGTAAGGAGAGGGAGCCAGAGATGGATCTGGAGGCAGGCGAGCAAAAGAGGAGTCGTACAGAATCGAAGATGAACAGTCGGTAACAGAGGTTGTTTTGCGTTAGATCGCGTAAATATAAATGTGTCGTCAAACCCGCCACCACCTGACACAGCAAATCGGTAAGGTTTGTAACGTAAACAAAACGTGCCAATTGGTTACTAATTCAGCACACCGGTGTGTTGGAGAGTAAAGCCACTGTAATATTTACAATTCAAGTACCACACGTTTCGCCGGTAATTACAACAAGCCTCATCAGAGAGGGCAGTGTATCCGGCCTCCTTGCAGACGCACGGAGGCACTGCAGACCGGGAGGAAACGCACGTCTCGATGCAAATGTGGCATGCGCGTGTGTCATCGTTTTCCCCGAGGTAAGAAATTAAAATTCAAAAACTCGGCTCTCATCTCATGAATACGCACAGAGACTGCGTGCCTCAAGTCTGGCACCCGTCTGAAATTTAGCGATTTAGAAAAAATGCCTTTCAATCGACCTTCAGGCGTGGCCGCCCACTCTTGCTGCTGCTGCTGCGTAATTTCGCCGAAACGTCGTCACTCTGCGTTTGCTCATCTGCGCGGAAAGCCGAGACGACTCTCAAGAGACTGGACGCGTTACAAAACGACGGCGACTTGGAGCTGCAATGAATATTACTTTAAATAATGCAATGGACACGTTACGAATAAGCGTTGACGCAGCCATGCAGGTGAAGTAACACAAATGCAAGCGTTCTGTCGGAATGTATTCACAACGGAACTCGTGATCAGGTGGGTTCCAGCACTTGTTTGTTGCATTGTCATTTGCGTTTTGCCTTTGTCGTTTTGGTGACCCAGGTCACTCGAGCAAATGTGACTCCTCCATTCGGGTCTCTCGCGCTTCCGCCACCCAGTTAAACAAATACGATTGTACCTGGCTGTCTACCTGTCCGTCTGATTACCTGTCTACCTGCCTGTAGACCTGTCCGTCTGATTACCTATCTACCTGCCTGTAGACCTGTCCGTCTGATTACCTGTCTACCTGCCTGTAGACCTGTCCGTCTGATTACCTATCTACCTGCCTGTAGACCTGTCCGTCTGATTACCTGTCTATCCGGCTGTAGACCTGTCCATCTGATTACCTATCTACCTGGCTCTCTACCTGCCTGTCTGATTACCTGTCTACTTGGCTGTAGACCTGTCCGTCTGTTTACTTGTCTAGCCAGCTGTCCTACCTGCCCACCCAATGACCCGTCTAGCCGGCCCTCTACCTGTCCACGCGCTCACGTGCCCCCGGTTCTCCACCCCCCAGGCTGCAGGACTGGGGCGAGGAGGAGCGGGGGGAGCCGCGGAGCGCGCGCCCGGCGGGAGCCACGGCGCTGATCGGGGGGCTGCTGCTGCAGCTGGGAGGCCGCACGCTGCGCTGCTCCGCATGGGCGATCGGTGCGTGGGGTCCTCCTACTCGCGTACCCCCCCCCTACCCTCGCCACCGCCCCACCCTCAGAACCACACACTAACAGATATTTAAGCTAAACCTAAAGTAGTTTTTTTTATTCTACCAGGCAAGGCTCCAATGAGCTATGTAGCTGTTTTTTTTCGGAAGCGACCTGGCGATCACAAATGATAGCGCAACAGAGCGGCTGATCACCGTGTGGAAATGCATCGCAGCCGATGCCCTCAACGCGTTGTGACTTCGATTCTAAACGTGGAGGGAAAGAGCGGAGGACCCGGAGAAAAATCCACAGTGACCGCGAGGAGAGAGATATACAACAGGCGTCAGGGTCGGGATTGAACCCACGATCCTCCTGCATACCATGGCGAGGTAGTTAACATTTCCTAGCCACCGTGGCGCCCCCACTCTGCCACCACCCCTCCCTGCAAGACCCCACCCACTCTTGTGACCCTACACCGACCTCCTACCCTGCCATCACACCGCCCTGCGTCACCCCCCCCCCCACCACTTTGACCGCCACCCCAAGTCAGCCGAGGGTCCTTGGAGCGAGGCGTGCGCACCGCCTCCTCGCGGCGGTCACGGGCTGGGCGACGTCAGGCAGACGTCGTCGTGAATTACGCCAGCCTCGTCGACGAGCACAGTCCGCGCGACACGGACGCGGGGTCGCGTCACGGACAGCCGAGACGTGCGAAGGCAGCGCTGTTCTCCCGAGTCCTCGAGCCCCTAGAGAGCAGGGCTCTCACCTCATTTACAGCTCTCCCTGTTCCCTCCCTCCCTCCACACACCCCACTGCTGCCCCCTGCAAATTGGGCCACTGACGCACATGCAATTCTCACTCTTAAAATGTATCCCCCCCCCCTCCACACGACGTGGCACCGCCTCTGACCTCACGTGGCATTCTCAATACCATTGTGCGAATGTCGATTTGTTTGGGAAGAGGCCGGAGATTGGGAGGCAGTCCATTTTCACATCTCGCCATGCACTCCCCACACCGTGCCCAACCGAGGAGCCGTCACTCGATCAAGGAAGCAATTAGACGCCACCACTCTGACAGGGCATCTCGCGCCAGGGGCTCCCACAGCCCCACAGCCGACAGAGCTGAACGGCTGTCGACCACCATTCAACGCTCGCGTCACGTTACTGTGACTGTGGGGGAGGGGGCGGCAGCATGATGCGACGCATAGGGCCCCAGTCGGTCACAAAGGTGGCACCCGAATCAACAGACAAACAAGCAAGTACAAACATGCGAAGACAATTTCCCCGCAAAAAATCCAACAATTAACCACCAATGGCAGAAAACGTCGTTTACAAATGAAAAAAATTATTTCCGAAAAATGCACTCAGCGTAAAATCTCGTAGCGTCACGTTGCGGAGACACACGCACAGGAATCTACAACGTGAAACACGTGTCTAACATGTGTCTAAGATGTGTCTAACACCGCGTTGACTAGAGGCGTGTACATGTCTTGTGGCCTTGGTAACGCGGGTGGGTTGCAGAGGCTGGGAACGCGTAGGTACAAGCGGCCTTGATTGGGCGGCCTCTATATACCACACAACGGGTGAGATCCACTGCAATAAAGAGATGATGATAATGAAGACATTCAATATCGTGAATACTACCATGATGAAGAGGATCCGCATCTCAACACATCATTGTATTCATCATGCACAATGTGTGTTTTTCATGAGCACAGTCGTGGATTAATGTCATTTGGATCTGTCTGGGTCAGCGACCTACGTAAAATAATTCCACGCCCAGCAAACCACGTCCAGTAGACCTCTCGCTATGGCTGTGGCTACCAGTCACGTGTCACCTACTCAAGTCTCCCAGCAAGCCGTGAAATATTCAGTGAGACATTAAGCCCGAGCGCACAATTTACAATGCATACGATTCCGTTTACCGCCTTGAGTCAGCCAGCTGGGACGGGCTGATAACCATATTCCTGCACGATCGCTATAAATAACAAATGTACGTTGTACGCAAGCTCTGAATCACGCTTAAGAAATGTGCGGTATGGCGAGGCGCAGAGGCGGAAGGCACACATGCGAATCGGCGACAATGTTGACCGTTAAGGAAACGAGGTGAGCTTGGGAAAGGGCTCATCGTGTTGCTGCGAGAGGGTGGTGGCCGATGTGCGAGGCTGGTGGTGGTCGTGGTCGGGCAAAGGAGCCACCACGTGCCGACCGCAATGCTGGGAGTGATAATTAGTCCAGGTGCAAAGGGTGCGACGTCGCGTGTCATTGCATAATGATGACGGTTGGTGGAATAATGGTGATGCTGTGGACTGATGATTAATTCACGTCGTCGATTGATCATAATGAAGACGACGACGATGATGATGTAATCCTCAATGCAAAAAAAAACTATTCTTTAATAGGGTTTGGCCATATATAACAAAAGCAGCACCACTCCTGAAAACGAGTTCTGTGGACTCAGCGAGGATTTATTTTATTTTATATAGAAAACATCATTATGATTACATTGCACATAGAGGCGCTGACAGCTGCTGTTGATAACAATCCAAGGCAGAATTTATTACAAACATACATTTAAAATTCTCATTTGTGCTCAAAACACCAATTGAGCATTTGGCAAATTAACCCGAACCCGTCCGTCGCAATTGCTTGAGTGGCATATTCAACAGGCGGTATAAATCCACACCGCCTTCACCACGGATGTTCTGTTTGTTAACGAGGACTCCATGTGCCCGCGCAGACGACGACTCGACGGACCTGCAACTGGGCCTGGAGACGCTGCGAGACTTGCAGGTACCACACAAAGACAAAAGATCTCCTGTGTAGCCTTAACAGACTGTTGGGGCAAGTGCTGTTAGCGAGCACCTATGAAGGCCAGAACAGCACACGAGGGGGTGGGTGGCCAGCACCACGCCCGGCCGCCTTTGTCTCCCCAGTGGCGATGTTTTTACGCACCGCACCACGTACTCAATTGAGGCCGAGTCGACCTAGAGGAGGCCCATGACCGGTCCAGTTAATCGTAAAAGGTGTTGGCCGTGAGCGGGAATCGAACTCGGGTGGCCAGGTTCGTAGCGCAGCGCGCTAAGCACTACACCACCGCTCCCCGCAAGTACCCACACCCACTGCTGCACCCCCCAAGAACCACCTCCACTGGCATCCACATGTCGCCGGTTCGATTCCATCTCCCAGAAGCGCAGCTGCAACAATGGTGCGGGGTTCCTTCCCCCAGCAGTGTGAGAACATCACAGGTGGAGGTGGGGGGCGAAGTGTGAGTACTCCCACCTATTCCAAGACGTCTGGCCAGCATGGAAGAGTAGGCCAAATGCCCCTTGACAGGAACCCGAGAGCAGTGGTTCTCAAACTTGTTTGGTTACTGGAGCACCCCTTGGTGAATTTTGTTTCAACCGAGTACCCCCCCCCCCCCTTGCCTGACCCAAAATGGTCCTGAGAAATACATTTATGAATAATGAACATCAATACCTTAATTAACTGTTCCCATGTTGTGAGGTATCCCCAAGTAGCTGCTGGTAATTGGAAGCGAATAAATTAACGGACGTTCTTGCACGCATGACGTAATGCGTTCTCGCTCGCTGGTGACTCTTGGAAACCAACATTGTTTACGATCAATGAGTTTAGAAAGGTATTCTATATCATATGGGCGTAAATGTTATTTTGATCTTGGCAGATTCATGAGTGACTATTCACGGAAGATATAATTTCACACACATTTATAAATAGCCTCACGTGCCCCCAGGGGTCCGCGTACCCCCGGCTGAAAACCACTCCCCTTCAGAGTGGGAGGCCTTCTGACAGCAAGTGGCAAGACATTGCAGGGCTGCACCTTTACCTGTTTGTCCACCTGTTCACAGGTGTCGATAGACCTGGAGAGGGACTGCCTGGTCGTGGGCGGTGAAGTCAAGGAAGAGATCCCGTTTCTCAAGGAGAGTTAGAACGTGCGAGGACGCGCGGTCGTGTGTGAGCGTGTGGACGTGCGCACGCCACGCACGGCGGTCGAGAGGTGGCCACCGAGATCCAGTCACAGCTCCCATATCTCACGCCCCGCACGCACAACGCAACCACGGCAGCTCCCAATACAACCAGGCGCAGGCCAACGTAGGACCAACACGTGGACAGCCACTCGGCATGGGCGTCCTGATATAGCGACCACGCTGGAATTGGGATAGGAAATAAGCAAAGTAACTCCTTCATGTATCCATCGCTCCACGTAAGTAAATAAATAACCTACTTCTTACTCATCCCATCGGCCGCACGGCCTCCTGGGAAAGCAAAACGTCAGCAGCATTGGTTCAATTAGAGCAAACTCTGGTATGGTTTGGACGGTCTCTCATCAGCCTTGCTGGAATCAATGCTGGTGAACTGCCGATGTTACTGGTAAGGGGACCATCACTTTAAGATATGGGTCATAGTCAATGTTGGAATCGGTTAATCAGACCACGGAGGTCCACTTGCATACCCCTCGCAGCCATCCTTCTTTCATCTGGTGGAGCGTTGATCAGGATCATTTACTCCGTCTCTTTAGCAACCACCCCAACCCAAACTCTTCAACCCCAGTTACGGGTTTCAATTGAAACCAGGCACTCAAATATGTTCAGCATTGCATGTACAGAAGCACTCAGCCTTATCCAGACCACCAGCTCTAAGGAACTGAATGGCGACTTTTGTCGTTCAGACCACCTACTCAAAGGGTTGAGAAAACGTGGCTATCCTTCAACGACAAAAACGGCCAAGTTCAGTTGCTTTGAGCAGACGGTCTGAGGAAGACCGAGTCCTTTTGTACATACAATGCTGCACACCTTTGTGTTCCTAAATCTATTTGTTTCCAGCCTGCAGTAAAGTTCTTGTTGTGATGGGCAGTCTCGTAATTTAAAAATTTCAACGTCCTTCTCAAACGACGCCCACGAGCCACCACGCCCCGGTGCCCCGTTCCCACGCTCGACGTTCCCCGTTCACACACAAATCCAGTCGTTAGCATTGCTGTACGCGCCTGATAGTTGGTAAACACACAAACCCGTGCCGTGATGGTTCGCGGAGTGGCGGGGGGGTGATAGCGTTTGACGATGCCTTCCTGTCGCGGACCCACTTAACCAGCAGTCGTACGAGAAGGGCAAGTGGGTTGGCATTTTTAATTCACTTTCAACGCTCACGCTCTCCGCGTGGCCGAGTCGAGAGCAACATTTTAACGCCCAATTCGCGATAGCCATGTGTGTTTGTGTGCGTGCGTTGCGGCCGAACGCGAGCGGCCAATATATGAACGAGAATGTCAGGTTCGTCGACGAGACGCGCGCCACCCCCGGCAATTACGTCCAACTGTTATCAGTCGACAGCCAAGGCATAATAAAACCATCCAGGCAAACCGTCCACAAAACCCGCAGTCTGGGCAAGCGCTGGGGTCTCTTACACCCGAGATTTGGCCGCAAAGCACGTCTGTGGTCACCGCCAGTGGCGCAGCTGTCGAGAGTGCAGGCGGTGCAATTGCACCGGAGACACCGGAGGGGCCCAGGTGCCACGATATGATGCCGGGGGGGGGGGGGGGGGCAAGGAGACGTAGGGGGACCCAAAGAGAGTTCCTTGCAAAGAGGACCAACAAACGCTTAGACCACCGGTTAACAACCGCAGCTCCAACGCTCGTTTTGTATGTGATCATGTTTTTTAAAGCCGCTTCTTCAGTGTTCTATACCGTGTGCCTGTGGCGATTTGATACAAATTTACGCAGCCGTAAGAGTACGCAAGTGGCACGCACGTGATATTTTGCCGCATATTGGAAATGTGTGTTTTTGATGTGTAGCGAGCGCGGGGAAACAATATGACAACGCGCTGTTATATGGAAATAAATGTCGCCTAAACAGTTTCGCGCTGACATTTGCCTTGTCTGAACGATACGCGGGGTGGAGTGTCAAAAAAAGTGATACTGTCATTGCTTTAACAAACACAATTCGATTGAAAATGAATTCTATTGAAGTGAGAATTAAGGCCAGGAAACCATCGCTCAGTGAATCCTGATAATTCTAATCCTATTGAAGTGAGAATTAAGCCCAGGAACGCATCGCTAAGTGGATTATGGAAAACGGTTAATCAAACAACAATGTATAAATCTCATCAGGCGCGATGGTGTATGACGTCCTGTTTCCAACTCTCATCCACTCAACCTCTCTGGCCTCGCTCAAGGAGGGCTTTGCACAAAACGTCGACTAGTATGTACTTTTCCTCTTAAGGTTACTTTATTGATGAATGCGTCCCGAGTTTTTGTTATTTGTCATACACATTCTGTACAAAACAAATCTGACATTCAGACTCAAAGGAACCAAACAGCCCCAACCATCCTTCATCAATAAAATGCCCTGAACAAAGACCATGGCAACAAAGAAGCCACGGGGATGGTGGTGGCTGCCCACCAAATGTGTAACCGCTTGGCAAACAGCAAACTGTACAATGTCAATATCCTGCACGGCCCGTTCATTACTTTCCTCGTCGTCGCCCCAAATCCCGCATTCAACCAAGCGGGCTTCATTAAAACTGCCCAGACTCCCGTACAAGGAAACAATCTGTAAACTTATTACAACTTTTATTTCAGTATGCCGGTTGCAGTGTGGCACGCTGTGGCATCTCCCAGCACAATCTCACCAGGTGGTGGCAGGAATATGAATCGGGAGCCCCGGGGGCAAATAGGCCCAAGCAGCCTGTGCTCAGAAACTGGGAAAGACGAACCACAGTGGCGGTCGCCAATCCGGTGGCCAGTGCACTGCACTCCGTCAAGAAGGCTTCTGGACTTTAGTACAGGCTTCTGCTCACAGGGGGTCTGCGTGTCGCCGTGTGCACACGGACGCGAGCACACACGGACGCGAGCTCACACGGACGCGGGCTCACACGGACGCATGCCCACACGGGAGCGAGTTGCTTTACGCGTCTTGCTCCGACGGCTGCGATGACGGCGCTGAGGCTGGCACGTCGCTCTTGTCGCCGAGGGGAGGCGCTCGCGCGGGTCCGTACAGCAGCTCCGTCACCAGCTCCCGCACTCGCGCCGTGTCCTCGGGGTCTGTGCAGGCGGGCAGACGGACGGGACACGTGCGGAGGCACACGGCTCGGATCTGCACGACACTAGGGAGACGTGTTCACGGTGCGCCGGGGGAAGCTTTACAAACGCTCTCCCCCTCCATCGGCGCTTCACAATGATAATCTTTACTTCCACAGGAGAAGGAGGAATCCAATGAGCATATGAAGCTCTTCATGGGGACCGGTCAGCCAGCTACAACAACAAATAATACAGACAACGATAGGAGTGCAAAATAGGAAAAATAAATACGTATAAATAAAGTAGGTATTTTTTTTTTAAATACATAAATTCCTGACCTCCATATGCCGTGGCTGCCTGGGAACATATACTAGAGTAGCCTACACAGACTGCCGGGGCAAGGGCTGTTAGCGAGCACCTATTAAGGACGGCATGGAGCATGAGGTGGTGGTGTGGTCAGCACCGTGCCTCGTCTCAACCAGTGGTCATGTTTACACACTCTACCAGATATTCATTTAAGGCAGAGTCAAGCTAGGGACAGCGCTGGACAAGTTCAGATATTACTCGGTACCGATGTTAGCACGAGGTGAAAACCACTTCACAACCACTCCAAAGACACAAAGACAAAGATCTCCCGTATAACCTGAACAGATCGTTGGGGCAAGTGCCGTAAGCGAGCACCTATGAAGGCCAGAACAGCACACGAGGGGGTGAGTGGCCAGCACACGCCGGGCCGCCTTTGCCCCCCTAGTGGCGATGTTTACACACCACAACAGGTACTCAACTACATACAAGACACACGGACGTAGGTATACACATGCACACACCTACGATTTGCGTTGAGTGGAGAACTCTCTGCCCAAGAGCGGCTTTGTTGCCGCGTGGTGAGCGGACGTGAGCATGCTCGGGGCACGCGCTCAGGGGAGCCACTCGACCCCACGTGGGCAACTCCAGCCCACCACCACCACCCCGCACCGCACCCCTAATAAATGCAAATTCAAAAACTGCCCCGCCCCCATCCCCTCCCCGCCCCCAGCTGCTAGTGCCAGCACAGCCAATTAGGCGGCGGCGCGGCTCTCCAGTACGGCACAAGGGCAAAGGGGGGAAGATTAAAGGCAGGAGCGAGTGCACATGTGCGGCTCTGCCTTCAAGTGTGGGATCTGGGAACGCATTTCCTGGCCATCAATAATGCACAAAGTTCACTGGCGGCCACCGGTGTCGGTGCGCCTGCAGATTTTCGATGCTTCGAAAACAAGATGCTGATGAAGAGACCGACTGCCGCAGTCGGGCTCTCTGAATTGGGCACATGATCGTTGTCATCGTTATACTCAGCGACATCATCATCATCATCACCAGCCATGGTCAATCCACTGCTGGATTCCCGCCACCGCACACGATCCTGTGATGTAACAGTCCACCCAGGCCCCACGCTTGAGTTGATCTCATTGCTCCATCTCCACATCATCTGGGATGCGTTCCACTCCCATGGTCCGTTGTGCAACTGACAACTAATTAGAAAATGCTTATTTGACCGAGGGTTTTTTGAAGCAGCGATAACGGGAATCTATGATGATTTCATTCCAAAGTGGTATAAAATCATCATTATTATTTTATTGCTTTATTGCAAGATGTATGTTTGTCCATCATTCTGCTTCCAACTTCAGCGCCTCGAGTAGCAAATAGGATGAGCAATACACGAAACAAATCAGCAAAAGAAAATCCATTTCCCAAAGAGCAGGTTGGATTTTGAGAGGGAATGACCTGCGCTGAAGAGGAGGAAAAATAATTTTAGTTGCATTTAGATGCAATCGAAATAAGAATAATTGTTGTATCACTGAAGAGAACTCACAGCTAGCCGAAAAACTGCCTCACTGGCATCTGCGAGTCGCAAAGCAGCAGATATATTAAAAATATATATTTATGAAAGACCAGACAGTGCACAACAGTGATTTTTTGGACGACGAGAAAGAGAGTGGAGATTGCATGCCATCAATGGCCCATCCTTTACTGTGAATGGAATTAATGCCCGCTTGCGGAGTGGTGAAATAAAAAAGAAGTTCTTGGTGTCTGGAATGGTGAGAGATGGTGCCAAAGGACACGAGACGATTGTAATTTCAATGTACTCTGTACACTACATCTGTTCATACGACTGAGCAAATTGTGAAATTTCACAGCCGGTTAGCCGAGTGCACATAATACACACACACACACACAATATTCTGCCGTGACAACATTCTTTTACAAAAATTCAGCTGCATTTTTAGATAACTCACAATGCACCGCGGGAACGCTGCGGCGTCTTTACAGTTATATTTTTTTGCTGTTTCCCCCTCTCTCGCTCATTCAGCTGCGCTAAGTGCAGCCGTTTTTTTTCTGGCCAAAGAATAAAATAATGGCGCTCCTCGCTAGGGACAGGATCGCTGGAACGCGCGGGCTTTATCGAGCGCACAGGCTACATCGGTCAGACGGGTGCGCAAAAAAGAGTGAACAATAAAAAAACGAGGGCATTAAAAGAGTGCGACACGCGTCCGGGTTGCCAAATTGCGCGCGTTACAAATCGTCTTGTCATTATTAAAACAGTGGGCCACCCCGCGAAGACCGTGGGTGCACGACATCACCACGCCTAGCCTCCTTTGTTGATCCAACGGTAACGTTCGTACACTCACCACATACTCAATCGAGGCCGAGTTGATCTACAGGCGAGGTTTACGATAGCCATTTGCCACCGATGTAAATGCCCTGCTGGGAATTGCACCCAAGGTCGCCAGCACTGAAGTGCGTTGAGTAAACCGCTGCAATACTGATACGTACAACAAGCAGATACAAGCATGTACACAAAGCATCTCCATGTGGCCTACACAGGCTGTTGGGCCAGGACTGTTAGCGAGCACCTACGAAGGCCGCATGGCGCACGAGGGGGCTGTGTGGCCAGCATCACGCCTGGCCATCTTTGTCTCACCCATGTATATTTTAACACACCGCAACAGGCACTCATTTAAGGCTGAGTTGGACCGGTTGAGATAATCGTCCCTGGTGTTGGCCGTGAGCAGGAATCGAAATCGGGTTGCCGGGTTCGTCGTACAGCGCCCTAACTGCTACATTACCGCTCTCAGAATACAAAGACGTAACAAAGACAAAGATCCCCTGTATAGCCTTGAACAGACTGTTGGGGCAAGTGCTGCTAGCGAGCACCAATGAAGGCCGGAACAGTACACAAGGGGGTGGGTGGCCAGCACCACGCCCCACCGCCTTTGTCTCCCCAGTGGCGATGATTACACACCGCACCAGGTACTAATTTGAGGCTGAGTCGACCTAGGAGAGGCACAGGATCGGTTCAGATATTCGTCACTAGTGTTGGTCGTGAGCGGGAATCGAACCCGGGTTGCCGGGTTCGTAGCGCAGCGTAGCGCTAACCACTACACTACCCACTACCCACGCACACACACACAAGCCAGGGTACTGATGACATTTCATTATTCCCAGCGTCAGAGTGCTCTAATGAATGTCCCACGCCAACATTACGGATAGACGAAGCAGGTGAAAGACATTTCCGCTCCAAAAGGCTGCTGCCATTCCGCTAATCTCCGTGCGCACAGCACCACAGGCGAGGGCGCAAGGCCAAGTCGCAGTTCTGCATTTCTCCTTCTCGAACAGAAGTGCCACTCGTCACCATGGACCTGCACGATGTCACACTGACAAGACAAACTTGTAATGGCGAGGGGCACCATCCCGGTGAGGCGCCGTCGTGAACCCTTTCCCGTTCCCATGACGTATGTGTACGTCATCGTCGGCACCGAGGCTCCCACAAGGCCACGCGGGGAGGGCGTGTGGAACAGTTTGCCGCCAGCTATCGTAGAGTTCGGTCGTGTCACTACGGTTCTCTGCGGTGAGTACGTCTTTGAAAACGATGGCGCCAAGCCTCTCTAAATAAAATTCACGCTACTTGCAATCGTCTCGGAACGCGAAAGGGTTAATTCATAAAATTCGCAAGCGCGCCTCGACCGACCGCCTGCTGGCCAGTCATGATCCACGCCTACTGCCGTGCCTCTTATCGTTGTTGTTGTTGTTTTGCTTGTTTACCCATGAAAGCCTCATCGAGTCTTAGACTCTTTTCGGGCAGGAGGATCTTGCCAAAATGTTTGCAGCAGGGACCGATGTTGCTCCATGTCAATTAGCAATTTGTGGGAAATTGGGATGTTTGGCACGATATCGGCTACGTTAAATTCGGAGGGAACCATTGCGGAATGGGGGAGAGAAAACATACAAACTCGTACCTGTCAACCCATACGGTTTACCCACATTCTTGTACAGGATAATTGAGTTTTCAGGTGGACAGCCGTTTCAATACGGGCAAAATAAAAAATGTTTGTCTATTTGTTTGAGTTTCTCCCTTCTGATGGGACGGTTTAGGATGCACGTTGACATTTATAAGGGCACGGGGTGACCAATAAGATCTGAATTGGTCTGTAATAAGGTAGAGCACTGATAAGGGGTTGACAGGTATGCAAACTCCGCACAGAAAGGCACCCGAGTCGGGAATCGAACCTGGAGCCTTCTTGCCGTGAGAGGCGAGCGCTCCCACTGCGTCACCCTGCCGCCCTCTCTAAATCCGTTTCCGAATGTATCTGTTTATCTGCCAATGAGGTTGTTGTTATTTCTTCATGACAATGTGCCACCACTGTCTATGTACAGCATATCTTGATAGGTGGTTGCGTTTCATGCACTGCGTCAATCCAAACTGCAGCTGATTATACAAACAGAGACAAAGATACCCCATATACCCTTAACAGACATTTGGGGAAAGTTTTGTGTGCAAGCACATACATACACAAGACAAAGACCCCCGTATAGTCAGAACACACTGTTGGAGCAAGGGGCTGTTAGCGAGCACCTACGAAGGCCAGCACGGCACACGAGGGGGTGGGGTGGCCAACACCACGCTCGGCCGCCTTTGTAGTGCAGATGTTAACACACCTCACAAAGGTACAGATTTGAGGCTGACTCGACCTAGGGGAGGCCCAGGACCGGTTCAGATAATCGTCACTGGTGTTGGCCGTGAAGGGGAATTGAACTCGGGTTGCAGGGTTCATGGTGGAGCGCGCTAACCGCAACAAAACCGCTCCCCCATACATACACAGACATACACAGATACACACAAACACACAAACACGCACTCTTCTGGCTGTTATCCCCCCCAGGACAATGTCACAAAAATAAAAGCGTGCGTCATGAATACTCCAGAAGCCGACAGGCGCAACCCACTGTGTGCGTCCGTGCGTGTGCTCGCATACACGCACACACCACAATAATGGCGTGTACACGCACGCACGCACACACCACGACCATTGCGTGCGCACGCACGCACACACCACAACCATGGCGTGTGCAAGCATGCACTACTACCATGGGGTGTGCATGATAGTGTGGGGAGCGGTGGTGTGGTGGTAAGCGCACTGGGCCAAGAACCCAGTGACCCAAGCTCTATTCTCGCTTACAGCCACCATCACCGGTGAATATCTGAACCAATTCTGGGCCTCCTCTAGGTCAAATCAGCCTCAAATGTGTATTTGGTGCGGTGTGTAAACATCAGCAATGGGGAGACAAAAGCAGCAGGGCATGGTGTTGACCACACCGCCCCACTCCTGCACACCGCGCCACTCTTCCTAGGTGTTCGCCAACAGCATTTCCTCCCACCTGGCTATGTCGGCCCCACAGGGGATCTTTGTCTTTGTATGTGTCCTTGGGGAGTGGTAGTGCAGTGAGTCATGTTCTAAAGGGGCAGGGTCAGAGAGACCGGCCGGCTGGTCCAGGTGATCGGAGGAGCAGGGAGGTGAACCTGGTGGAGGGGAGGCCCGGGTACCCCTGAATTGTGCCGAATATGCGACGTGGAAAGATGTTAACTATCCCGCCTGGTATACAGGAGGTCGTGGGTTCCATCCTGACCCTGACGCCTGCATATTTGGAGTTTGTATGTTCTCCACATGATAAGCCACTTCGTTGCGCTATCATTTGTGGTCAGGTCACGTCTGAAAGCGAGCTGCATAGCTCAGTGGGCGTGGCCTGCTAAAATAAAAAACAAATTGTCAAGAATTAAATAGTCTTGGTGCGCACCGCATGCTGGGCGTGCAATGCTCGCGTACCATGGCTTGGGGGGGCGGGGGTGGGGAGGTGCGGGGGGTGGGGGGGGCGGTGGCGAAGGGGGGGGACTGACCGAGGCACAGACGCGCGAGTTGCTCGCCGAAGGCGGGACGAGAGCGCAGCGTGGTGAGCAGGTCCGAGGACTCCATCCTCTGCAGGCCCACGTTCCAGTAGACGTAGATGTGGTGGTTGAAGGTGGCGTACACGAGACACGGGCTGTTCTGCCCGCCCTTGCACGCGTACATGCCTGCGTCACAGCACACGCATGTCACATGAGCCATGGATTGTCCGCTGATGGATGAAGCCGTCACCACCACCTCAATCGTATTGATTTTCGTTTGTCTCGTTTGTACAGCTCGTTCCATTAAGACTAAATGCAATTTTAGCATCATCATCATCAACGGCCAGGATCTATCCACTCCCGGATGAAGGCATCCCCAAGCCGTTGCCATCTCTTAGATATCATGGCACTGAAAAGGACTGGCAGCGTTTTCCAATTGCTGGAGACGAAGGGGGTAACCAGAATAAATATAAATAGCCGCATTCGTACCGGGCACACACCGTGAATAGAACGCCGCAGGTCGCCGATTTGTTGTCGTTGTTTTGTCACCACGATCTGCGTGAATACCTTAACACCGAACGCGAATCTCTATTTAACCAAATAAAACCCATCGCTTCGTGGCGACATGGCCGTGCTGCTCGATGTGCAATCAGCGCCGTCGCATTCACGCTCGGTTACTCCCCCTCCCCGATCAAACGCGACGCACCTGTCCCTCGCAAGGCACGGCGTCGAGTGGCCGGACGGCGACACTGGGGCCGCACTTACCAGGGCGGCGCTCCGCGGCGTTAAGGGCAGGCATTAGGCCTTAAATCATCGGTTGAGTGGCTACGTAATAAGCGAGCGGGTGAGCAAGTGTGGAAATATATAGGCTATTAGGGAAAACAATTACTGTTACAGGTCTACAATAATGTAGATTAACAATCGACAGGACTATTCATGTACCCGCAACTTCCATATTAACTGTCAAAACGCTCAGATTTATTTACGGCGGTCGCATTTTCAAAACACACAAAACGGTCTCTATAATAAAAACGTGCATAATGCCTGCGTGCGTTGCATACTGCGGACACATCAAAGCCATTCGTACGTGTGCAACGGGCTGCGAAAATGCGGCGAGAGAATATTCACGGTGACGAGAGGGGATGTTTCGTAGATGTTACGCGTGCAGCGCAATGCCTGCCACGAGTGCAGCGAGATGACTCTGCCGTGGTGAAGCACGGCTGTTGTTGTGAAAAGCTGCCACAACCCCAAGGGGCTTCATCCGCCTGACATCAATTACTAGCACAGGCATGCGTGCGGATCTGGAAGGCAACTGTGCGACATTAACCCATGCGCAAGCCCGAGTTGAGCTACTGCCTTTGCACCACCACGGCCACACTAGTGAAACAACCACCACAACTGTACCATCACTGTGTAAATACCACCACCAGTGTACCAACCCCACTGCCCATGTACTACCACCACCACCACCAATGTACAACCACCGCCACCACCTGTGTACCGCCACCTCCCCTATCTCAACACCACCTGTGTCCCGCCATCTCTAACCTTGCACTGCAACAACTACACAATCACAACAAAAAAACCCCACAATGTAACCGGTAGTGGCCAAAAACATACCGATGATGACAAATTAACCGGGAAATTAACTAAACTGGGATTACACATAGCGGCAACATCGCCTCCAACTCCGAAAACTTGGCAGGAAAATAGTCTTGATCCTCAGTGAGGCTTTCCGGATAAACAATAATAATAATCACCACCCTTGCACCATGTCTCCCCTGTCCGTACCATCACCACCACTTATGTACTACCCCTGTACTCCCACCGCTATCCCTGTACCACCAGCAATCGCCATGCATAACCGCATAACCGCATAACCGACCCTATATGAGTCTACAGAACCACAATTGCCTGTGTACCACCACCACCGCCGCCGCCACAGCGCTGTACAACCGCCATCCACGAGGTGAGCAGACAGCGCACGATGCAAAGCGCCTGGTGGCGGCGGCGATGAGCGGGTGTTAACGTCGAACGTATTTATAGCCGTTGGCTGCATACGTTACGAAGCTGTTAATTAAAAAAGAAAAATGAGACAATCTTAGCTCCTGCAGAGAAAGCGGTGTTAATTAACGCTATATATATATTTTTTATCCAACGAAAAAAGAACTTGCAAAGCAAATAAAAAATGGTCTGTGATGTTCGTAAATTATTATTGATTGATGACATTCTCATTGTTACAGACATAAAATAATGATGTGCTGTGCAAGGGATTGACAACATTACAGTGGTCGTGCGCTACACATAACACTCGGTGCAGTTTGCACGGAGCGAACCACAATCCCGTTTGACGTTCGTCTGTTGCAATTCATAAAGCATTTCGTGCACGCTGTCAGCCACCCCACTTCAGAACGCACGCGCGGAATCTTCCGCAAGGACGCCTTCGTTGTGCGCCAGTCGCAGCCCGAAACCACCCCCCCCCCCCCACCACCACGGTTCTACGACGACTTCTAAACGATGCAAATCGCTTTTAAAAACCTGTTGCTAAGAAACTATCGGCACCCGAGCCTCCCTCGGAGAGGCAATAACGAGTCTCGGAGGGCTTCCACAGTGCTCATGAAATGCACACAAATCACAGAGTTGAATGCAGCTAGTGGCCCGAATATATTGTGTGTGTGTGCGTGCAGCTTGAGTCACTGCTGTTTAAAATAATGGACCCTATGGACGCTTGAGCTCTGCTCTCAATGGGATCCATCAGATGTGAAGGATTTGTTTAGTAGGGCACTCTGGCCGCTTCCCTGTCTTGTATTGTGAGACGATAATGGTATTGAATTTGGCTTAATTACAGCCGGGTATGTCCAGGTCAGTGGCGGAAAATATGTTTCCGCACTCGGCACGCCACATCCATCTACCACGGTTGTCAACGTACGGTGTGAAAGAAGTTCAACGGACATGCACACTAGCTACGGCTGTGGCTACTTGTCACGTGGCACTTACTCAGGCCTTACTGGCGAACTGGGAGAATAGGCAATGGGATATTAAACCCGAGTGGTGACCTTGCAGGGAGGGCATCTCCAGACACCTGGCGGGCATCAGAGTAAGCAATTTCATGAGTGAGCGAGCAAAATATGGTCTCCTGGGTTAGGTTGCATGCTGAGCATTTTTTCTCAAAAGCGCCTGCCACACACTACTGTTGACATCGCTGCAGAAGTTCCGTGAAATAATGTCAGAAAGAGTGGCTCAATGTGTGCCAGTCACCGTCTAAAATCCCACATTTTTCAATCACTTCTCACCCACTTGAATTTCTTTAAAAAATATATATGTTGCTGCAGTTCAATATGCCCGCAGTATGTGCTTTGCGAAACCCCGGTAGACCGCACTGGGATTACGAGCGTCTGTGAAAATGTGCGTGCGAGGGCGGGCGAGTGAGCGAAGATTTACCGGCGCAGAACGTGCAGACGTTCTCGTCAAAGTGGAAGCGGACGACGTTACGACGACGGTCGATGATGTACGTCTGCCCGTCCCAAGCGCACGCCACCACCTCCTCGCTCCCGTCACTCTGCCCATCGAGCGGCAGACAGCGGGGTAAGAGACTGGCAGCTCGAAGATTGAGGTGACATTGAGAGGATGTCAAGGCATGTGCGTGTGTGGCCATCCCATCACCTCTGCATTTCCTCCTTCCCATATATCAACTGTTTTCCTATTACGGTGAGGATTGACTTGTGACAGATAAAATACATCACCTTAAGCACACCAAAGACTAAGATCCCCTCTTAGAGCCATGCACATAAAAAAGACAAAGATCCATCGTGAAGCCTTTAACAGACTGCCGGGGCAAGTACTGTGACCGTGCACCTATGAAGGCTGACACGGCGCATATGGGGGTTACGTGGCCAGCGAGTGTCATGCCCCGTCACCTTCGTCTCCATGGTGCTGATGGTCACACACCGCAGCAGGTACTCATTTAAGTCTGAGTTGACATAGAGGAGGCATAAAACTGATTCGGATATCACTCCGCACCGATGTTAGCCGTAGCCAGGATTCGAACCTAGGATGTTGGGGTTGGGAGTGCAGTGCGTTAACCACGATGCCACCGCTCCTACACGCGTACACATGGTTGACCAGCACTGACCACACGCACGCACGCATTCGCTCACACACACACGTGTAAGCTTACACACACGCGTGTAAACTCACACACACACACACACACGTGTAAGCACATACACATCCTCCGGCTTCTGCGCGTTTGTGGGGAGATGCCTCACCGTGACATCAAGCTTAGCAAGCGCAAACAGCTGATGGTCGACCTGCACTGACCACAGCAGGCTGTCTGGACCCATTAGCTTCAGGGTACCTGCATCACACGCACAACACAGGCACACAGAGACATACAGGCAATGGAGCATCACGTCGTCCCCCTACTCACAGACTCATGCCCATTCACAGCCCGACCCTGCGTGTACCACGCGCCGCACAGAGATGGCTGCCACTGGGGGGTCCCACCTGGCTAATCAACAGCAGGGCACTGGAGTGGTTGAGATGATGAGATATGATGCAAGGTGCTGAGTTGCTGAGGCATTCAAGCAAGAGCCACTCTCTATGCAAATATTTTGCCTGCTGATGGGCACTGTGCTGTCACGAGGTCAACACTGAACAGCAGGACAGACATCCCGGCCTGATCTTCACCTTCCTCGCCGGTCTGCACCAGGTCAGGTCAAGAGCAAGACGGTGGGTAGATAACCTTTTTAACTAAACAAATAGATACATTTAAATTTTACGTGCCAATATCACCCTCAACAAAGTAGGCATCGGTGCACATTATAGCAGAACGGGAACGGTGCAGCAGTGGGCACGGAGCAACAGGAATAAAACAATACAGGCAAGAGCCCAGTGAAGGGGGGGGGGGCAACTTGCAAGGCGCAAATCAAGAAAAATGCAGAAACACACTATCACCAGCAGCCGTGATCTATTCACTGCTGATTGAAGGTGTCCCGCACAACGTCGCCGTCTCTCGCAAGCCCGCGATGCCCCCGCCACCCGTCTTACTCCTGCGAACCCGAAATCATCGCTCCATCTTCGCAGCTGATTCCCCCTCGAGCACGTTGCCTGCTTTGGTTGCCACTCTGGCGACGCATTTTCCATAAAATATGTCTCTGTATCTCCTTGAGCGACTCCATTTCAAAAACACCATCAACTTAAAATTACACCACGCTTGAGAATGTTACAAATAACAGTTGAATTGAGGAGACGAAGTGGTGAAATCAGCTCGTGCGCCGGTGGATGGTAACGTCGCAGAATCGCGAGAGGTCGCGGCAGCTTAGGCGTGGCCTTCATCCAGCAGTAGATTGACAATGGATGATGATGAATTATGTTGTATATTTTATGGGTTCCTGCATTTTAATTGTAAAACGTGTCATTGTTTACATGTGTAGTGTCTTCGAAAATTACTCACACCGACACGTTGTAGCAAGTCACCTGCTTCCACTTTATTTCACCTGTTCTTGCGCCAGTTATAGGCACTCCTAAAACTATCTGTATGGTCACATATACTTGACTTCTCCCCGCTCTTATCTATTCTGCACCTCACTTATCCTGCACTTAGCAGCTCTGCTCTTAGCGACTCCGCACACAGCGTCTTCGCACTCAGCGTCTTCACACTCAGCAACTCCGCGAACCTCCGGTCACAGCGTGCCCACCTGTTCGACCTCGGTTGCACCCACTTCTCCCCTTAATTACTGGCGGTTTTTCAGTGCAAACCTCAAGTTGCAACGCACGCATCTGTTCGACCTCAGTTGCACCCGCTTAACAGCGCGCACCGTGTACATCTCTCCTCTACACATGGACAAATGTGGTTTATTCTGCCCGCTTTGCCCAGAATGCCACTGGGTTTTCCCAGTTGTGGCAATATATAATTGTCAAATGAAAGATTTGAAAAAAAGTTTTGCTGGCTGGCTGGCACTGACATCACTGACACCACCCCACCACCCACCCTCCAGCCTGGCCATGAATCCTGTGCACATGTGAGGGCAGTACCGGTATATATACATATTCAGTTGTGCTATGAGCATCAGGTCTTTAGATGAAGTGCCCATTTTGAAAGTCTTGCACAGCAGTGTATCACGTGAGAAAACAGTCGGTGGGGGAGGCCTTCATCCAGCAGTGGATTGACAAAGGGCTGACAGTCATCATTATCAATCATGATTTACAGACAAGGGTCTCCATAGCTACCCGCGTTTCCCTTATGACACGCGTAATGGTTCACACCGGGCCTTCACCTGGTTAAACAGCCAACATTGATTTATCTTAAGCACGGCATGGACAAAGATTTGAAGGGGAAATGACGTATGGATTTTTTCGTCTTCAAAGTACAACAACAACAAAAACGGAGTGAAAAAGAGCGTCTTTTTTTCATTACGCCTCATGTGATCAATACTCCTAACGAGCACCGGCCATCATTAGTGGCCCCTGCTTTGTTGGGAGCCAGTTGAGGGGGTTAATTAGACCAGCGAGCGGTTCCGAATATCAGGTCAATTGTGGAGCTCACTGGGATCCACGCGCGTCAGCGTCTCGGCGAGGAGCGGCACGGGGCGAGGGTCTCGGCACCATGCAGATCGAGATGACCACGAGGCTTGTGAGACCACTTGGCAGGCGAGAAGTGAAACTGCGCACGAGTTATTATGGCAGCGGGTAGAGGAACGGGCTTGTTTGTCTCACGCTTTCGAGGCTACCGACCTTTGCTTGGCCCACCCCGCAACGCGATGGGAGAAAACGAGGAAACGCTGAGAATAAATTTCGGGTAATGTGGGGGTAAAAACAAAGACACGTCATGAGCACGGGCAGCATCAAGGTCCGGTTCTGAAAGGGCCGGAGCAGCAGGGGCAGAAAGAGGAGGAGGGTGATGTGTATGGTCGTCTGGGCGGTGATCAAATAGAACCTTCATCACTGTGCTAATGACACGTTGGCCACCCATCCACAGAAAGTCTACCGGCTTCATGTTTCACAAACAACGCGGGCGGGAAACGTCCAGCGCGCCGGGCTGGCGCATGGCGCTCGCTCGGGACAACCGCGAGGGAGGGGAACGGCGACCTGAACCCATTAGAGCCCGCCGGTGGTGTGGCTTTGTTGACTGGGTAAAAGCGCCGCGTAATGACCACTTGGAATTGTGTACAATTTCGTTAGCCGGGACATATAACGTCGTTACGGAATAATGATCGAGAGTGCATTCGCGGTGGCCCAACGCTGGGCTCTGCGGAAGCTATTAGTCAAGGATATTATGCCTCCTGTTAAAATACAGGACGCAGCCGTAGACACGCTGCCATCGCCAAACACTCCTGAAAAAATATTGCCCGCTCTTGTGCGGGGATAGAAGTGATAGATGCAATCTCGCGCCGCCGAAGGAGATTAGCGGCCTCTCACGGAGCTCATTTCGGCACCAGCATAGAAAATTATCCCCGCGTGATTGATAGCTGCTGCGCGACAGTAGATCCTGGCTGACATGGAGCTACGTGGCTCAACTCGGAGCCAGAAGCTTCACTCGGCGCTGACAGCTCCGACAAAGGAATGCGAGCGGGAAACCCAGATCTCGTCTTGTAGCGCGGTGTCCACATGAATTACAACATCACGCACGACAACTTTTCACATTCAACTAATTTCAAAGCTCCCGGTTACTTTCTTATAACGTCTCTATTGTTAATAATTATTTATGACACGTCCACCGCTGTTATATTTCTGTGCGTATTCTCTCTGCTTGCGTCATGCAGTCTGCGGCTGCTCTTGTTTGTGTTCATGCAAACATAATCCCAGGTCAGCTAGTGCGCAAATCTAACGCTCAACGGCACAACAGAGCAGATGGATCCCAGCTTCATTACAGTCACCATTGAGGCGCGGGGCGGAGGGTAGTGGGGAATTGGGGGGGGGGGGATTTGGACCCCTCATCACTTCCCTTGTGAGCCGCAGCTGCTTCCTTCCCCAAACCTGCAGATGTCTTGTATCCCTGCGCCCAGCCACCCCATCGCTCCTCTCTTCACCACGACCCGGATGTTGAACGTCGAATTTGACGAGACAACGCCGTGGGGCGATTGTGTGGAAGCACAGATGGGAGCTACGTAATGTTCCCTTTGAATGCATCGCGTTTAGCAAAATCGCCTCGAACGCCAAACCGTTTAACAGTGGTGGTGCCGGTTGATGTGGCAGTTGTGGAGGTGGTGGTGGAAGTAGTGGTGGTGGAGTTTGTGGAGGTGGTAGTAATGCAGCTGGTGGCTAATCAGTGCTGGCATTTCCACATTGTATATTGCAGGGTTTATTTTTAAACCTGAAATGCAATTGCATCCTTTGCATGTGTGCAATTGCTTACTCGCACACAGCCGCTTCGTAAACTGCACGCGAAGGTTAAGCCGTCCCCCTTGGTATAATCCCGATTGATGTAGGGAGACCACAAGCACATCCCAATATACTGCGCATTACAGGTGTCAGGGCTCATAAAGGAGTGTGGGCGCAGACGGCTCGACCCGTTAATAATCCCACGCCTGCGTCGGCTTCACGTGTCCATCGTCAGCAATGGGCACGAAGCACCTAAACGAGGGTCATGCACAAGGTGATTTCACCAATTATACAACTAAAGGTTGAAAGCGTGAATTCATTAGCTCTGTCCGTCCATTCGTAACGGGAGGGGGGAGCACGACAACGCTCATAAAGATGATCCAACACCAATAAGACTGTTTGATGAAGTTGTTTTTGCTATTTGGAACTTGTTCTATTGAAAACTGGGCAAACTGATCAAATGTTACAGCCCTCTGATGTGTTTTCAGATTGTACCACGTGTTACACATCAAGATGTGTGACATTTCACTCCACACGGAGAGAAACATCAGACGTGGTGCCGAACAACAAGAGGCTCACCCTACAACACATCAGAGAAGTTTCCAGCCCAACCACGAAAACCTATGCAGTCGTATGCTCAAAGCACAAAACAAAAATGACTATTTGCAAACGCACGTTTTCAGAACTTCCAGACTGCCAATTAAATAATTACAAAGATCATCTAACATAGGAAAGCGTGACGTAATCCACACTTATGTGTAACTTATCCTAATTTATTGGACGAGTGTTTGCGTGGTTGGCGGGAGGACGGGCATGGTAGTGGGGTGTCGTGTCCTGAGATCCGGGAGCCCTGCTTGGGCCTCCTCTCTCATCCGACGGGACGCACGCTCCGTGGAGATGTCAGGGGGTGACATGGGGGGGGGGGGGTACGGAAGGATCGATAACGCAATCTCAGGGTTGTGTGCAAGTCTCCTGCGCAGCACAATTACCGCATGCAGGGGGGGCTCTTGTGCAAGCGCTATTTGGGATGTTTGTTAAAATGATTAGCTTTGCAATTACGGCGAAATGCGAATGAGACACGGCCGCAGGGAGAGGTTGGCGCAGGGGGTCACGATCGACGGTTTTAAAGTGGCCAGATATGCGATGCGCTCCCATTTTGTCGTCTCGCTTATTGCCTTTAAAGTCGACAATAAACACGGGTTTGCTTCAAAAGGGGCAACATGCCGACAAGATATTGAAAAAAAACACGTTTGTTTTTCCAATTGTGCAGACTCAAAGAGAGAGAAGCTATCGTTGAGTTTACCCGTCAATAGCGCACACCCACTGACAACACACACATCGTGGGGACAAACACAAACAAAGATAAAGATAATGACCACAGCTCAAGGAACTCTTGCTAGGCCGAGATGACTTAAGGGATGCCAAAGACGGGTTCGGATCCCAATTAAAACATGGTCTGTGAATTGACCTCTGAAGAATGCCAGCGAGATGTTGAAATCTCACTCTAAATCACAGTGAGGGGGGGAAAAACCGATTTGAATCGTATGACGATGTCGCAACTTTACACATATCAAAGACAAGATCCCCCTATAGTCTTAACAGATTGTTGGGGCAACTGCTGTTAGTGAGCGCCTTTGAAGGCCAACACAAAGATCCCCCGTATAGCCTTAACAGACTGTTGGGGCAAGTGCTGTTGGCGAGCAGCACCTATGAAGGCTGGCACGTCACACGAGGGGGTGGGTGGCCAACACCACGCCTGGCCATCTTTGTCTCCAGCGTGGCGATGTTTCCACACTGCATCGGGTCCTCATTTGAGGCCAAGTTGACCTAGGAGTGGTCCAGGACTGGTTCAGATAATCGTCACTGGTGGTGGCCTTGAATGGGAATCGAACTCGGGTCGCCGGGTACATAGCGCAGCACACGAACCGCAACACTAATGTTCCCCGTGCCCACTCACAACACACTCAGCGTGGGGACACACACAGATAGGCCATCACGAACGCGATTTCTTTCATCTTCGAGCAAGACACACGTGACAGCCCAACGGCGAGGCCACAGTGGCCCAGATATGAAGGAATCGACTGGCGCACGACTTGCCCCCCCCGCCTACCTAGGGAAAGGGCACCGTCCCCCCCCCCCCCCCCCCCCCCGTGTAACTTATTATGCGGTTGCTAAGGCGACGTGGCCGGGCGGCAGCTCGCATGCGCGCCACTCGCTGCGAACGTTCACGGTTTAGAGCCCCGCGGCCACCTTGGTTCCTGCCGCGGGCGCGTTAGCCACGGACACGTGCCAGTCGGCTCCACAGCAGACGTTAAGCATCCCGTGAAGTTATTCTAACAAAAACTAAAAAAAGGGGCAGGCCCCCGTGTGTACTGGCGTCAAGGTCCACATTTTAATTACTTGAAAATCGCTTAATTGGCTGACACTACGTGGCAACAGCGCCCCATACTGTGAGACTACGACTGACGATACTTGTCCGCGAAATACAGCGCCTTTCGTGACCGCGGCCTTGTGCTAACAAGTATCGCGCAAATAGCAATCAAACTCATCACGTCATTTGCTTAAAGGCACAACTCTCGCTTGTATTTCTCGGGGGTTCGTGGCTGTGTCCTGCGCCGTGGGCTTCTTACCGTCCAGGGTGCACAGCGCAAAGAGACCAGACTTCACAGCCTCCCCTTGCATGTCCCCTGTGGCAATTAGGGTAAGGAGACCCACAAGCAACAAACGGAACAAAATTAAAACGACGACAACATTGCACAGCTCTGTGTCAACCATGGTGCTGATTGCCAGCAGGGCACTCCAGTGGCGTAACCCAAGACCCCGATGCGTGACATCCTCCAGTGGCCTCCTGACCCTGCAGGAGCACCGAGCTATGAAGGTGGCGCTCATATCTGAGGCCGCGGATACAACCCAATTCACCCCGCTTTCATGGCAAATAAATAAATAAATAATCAGTCACTGACGTACTGCGCCGTTCAATAATATTGCACACAGACGATTCTTAGGAGATGATAGCTTGATGACAAAGCGCAAACGCATTGTTAGCACGTAACCTTGGCAACAGTGATGAGCTAGTTGTTTTTTTGCCCCCCGAGGGCAATGTCTTCGTGATAACGTCCGATTGGCGCAGTGTCTATTGCTATTCATCGCTGGAGAAAAACGCCAAGCTCATCCATCTCCATTGTGAGTGCAGCGTTTACAAGGTTGCTGCTGCTGCGCCAAAGAAAAACCCAGGCTCTGCCCAACGCGGCACGGCCGTGTGTGAATCTCAGCGCTCGCCCTAATTCTACAATGTGTTTCTCATAATCATTCATAATCAACGTTTTTGGGTTTAGATCGTGTTATTTATAAATGTGTCGTAACCCTCCACCACCCGACACGGCCAATCAGTAAAAAAAGTGTCACAAATAGTTCACTGCTTTAACCCACCGGTGTGTTGAAGCGTGAAACCACAACATTTACAATTTTTGAGTACGACGTTTCGCTGGTAATTGCATCCAGCATCATCGGGCAATTCGCCACAATGTGTTTCTCCCCCGCATTGCGTGCCCATTACTGCACCCATCGTCGCGGCTGCCAGGGGTTGCCATTCGACTGCTATTCCCTCTCACGGACACAATAACTCTCGTTTTTAAGGGGCTCTCCAGTGGGGAGGATGGCAGCGGAGGGGGTTGTAACGATCCGTCCCAAGGATTCCCACGCTGGTTTTGCAACAAACCGAGCCATGATGTTAAAGGGAGCAGATGTTTTAAGGTCAGAATATATTCTTGTGTGCGCCAAGTAGGGCCATGAAATTTTCTCAGCATGCCATCACGCGCGGCAGTCCGTGCTCTAGCGACAATTTCCATTTCACCGAATAAACGAGCAGAAAAATATTGCGGAAGCGAAAAAAACAAAACCAGATCGTCGCTTGATATCAATTGGGCTGCATCCTAGAGCCGGGCAAGACACTACGAATGTGTGCAATGCACATAACGAAAATACGATCGAAATTACTTTCACTGCACTCTCTTCCGTGCGCCCCAGCTCAGCAGCCTTTTATCGCAGCTCTTTATCTCGCACCGAAAACTGCCATCAGCAAACCCGCGGCTTGGCTCGTAAAGCGGTGGTGGCCACGGCATCGTTAAAGGGGATCGTGTAATTGCTTCGCTAGGACCAAGTCAAGTGAAATGAACTCCTGTGCCACGTCGATGCTGGGCGCTGATATTGATTAAACCTGTCACACGAGTATGGCGGTCCGATTACAAGCCTGGGCCGTGGTCACGAGCAGTATATTGACACCTTACAAATGGGTTTCACTTCAAAGGCCCCGTGCTCGCGTACGGCAATAATCGTCCTGGCAGTAGTCATGGAAAAATTGGTTTCAGTGGGCGTCAAAGCAAATGAATCGATGACGAAAAATTGTTGCCTCTTCTAAAAAGGGTCACAGCTATTCTGATCGTCTGACTTGGCATCCAGTTAACAGAGAGAGTGATGAAGCATGCAACAGTCACAATCAATCTGTTCAGTTGCACGCAAGTTAATTTAGAATAGACAGGGTGATCCATTGCCAGATACCCCACTAAAAAAATGGTAAGAGATCACAGAAAGAAAACAACACTTTTTTCAAAATCCCCTCCACACGTCTTCCATCAATCTCAATACATTTCGATTTAAAGCTTTCGTGACTGCAGGGATTCATCTTCTTGGTTTTTTCGGTAAAGTCACGTAGAAGGGAAGTAATAAAATAATAAAAATAAAACATAATAAAACAATTCTCACGACGTTTCGGCCACAACGCAAGCAGCCGTCCTCAGGTGAAAACCAGGTCCGTCGAGGCGACAGAGTCTGAATGAAACAGCACACGAGCTTGGAGCATATATATAAGCTGGGCGCATTGACAAAGGAATTTGCATATGCTAAATTCCTTTTGATATGCAAATTCCTTTGTCAATGTGCCCAGCTTATATATATGCTCCAAGCTCGGGTGCTGTTTCATTCAGACTCTGTCGCCTCGACGGACCTGGTTTTCACCTGAGGACGGCTGCTTGCGTTGTGGCCGAAACGTCGTGAGAATTGTTTTATTATGTTTTATTTTTATTATTTTATTACTTCCCTTCTACGTGACTTTACCGAAAGAACCAAGAAGATGAATCTCAATACACTTCTTGATTATTTTTACTCTCCTCTGCGAGCTGTGGAGCCGTCGCTTTCACAACCTTCAATTATCCGTTTAGAAGAAAGAGGGTCATTAGAAATCAGTGGGGTATCTATAAATGGATTACCCGATATACACACAGCACACTTAGATGGCATACAAAACTCGGTATTTCTGATATCCACTCTCAAGGTACTGAACACCAGATAGAAAAAATGGGATGAGCACCACTTGAAGCATCACTTCAAGACCAAGAGCCCCCCAATAGCCTTAACAGACTTTTTGGGGCAAGCGCTGTTAGCGAGTGGCACCTATGAAGGCCGGCACAGCACACGAGGGGGTGGGTGGCCAGCACCATGCCTGACCGCCTTTGTCTCCCCAGTGGCGATGTTATACACCTCACCAGGTACTCATTCGAGGTTGAGTCGGCCTAGGGGAGGCACAGGACTGGTTCAGATATTCGTCACCGATAATGATCGTGAGTGGGAATCGAACTTGAGTCGCCAGGTTCGTAGCGCAGGGTGCTAACCACAGCAGTTCTCGACCCGTGGGTCACACGCCCGAAGGGGTGGCACAGGCACACAGGAAGGTGGAGGGGGGTACAGGCTGCGGTATGGATAGCATGCAGGAAATGTCAGCGTTACGCTGCGCCCACAAAATATGCCAATACACAACACGAAACCAATGCCTTACTAATGCAAAACACACAAAAACCCTTGCTAACATTACGACGACAAGAGGCGTGGACAGGTGATCCCTCTCTCTCTGTAATGTGACCTTAGTGAGCTGGGGGAAGGGGGCGGCGCAACGACCAGTGGTCTTAAAGAGGGGGGGCGGGGGGGGGGCCATCCCAAAGTGAGGTTGAGGATTTCCGGCAATCACTTCACCACACGCTCTCTTGCCTAAATGGCCAACCCAGAGTTTTTGTGAAACCACACAAGCTGATGAATGCACTCAACATCATCACAGTAAGGTGCACTACTGCCCTCTGATGGACACGCCACATTTAAGAGTTTCCCACACCCTGCAATCATCTGCGGCGTGCTGCGGCCAGCCCTTTAACAGCCCTACACTCATGGGATTAGACAGCGAGTGTCGTTTGCTGTTTATATAGGCACTTAGAGGTCACAAAGTGGTTCTAATGTGATACAATATGGGTTTGTATAGCGACTAAAATGCAATCATTTTTTCTATAGAAGCGCAACAAAATAGCGGTGCATTGCTTCAGCGTTATGTATACCAGTGTGTACTCAGATAAGAAAGCACTCCTAGCATTTACTGTTTATAACGTTTTATTGTATTTCAAGCTTAGTGGCTGTGTTCTTTCTAGGTATGTTAGGATTCACTGCCCCACTTGTGATTTTATGAAATGCCACGATTAAAAGGTCACCATCTGATAGTCGTTTAATTTGTCCGTCTCATTTGGCATTCTCATTTTTCCCGGTCCTGTTTGTAGAGTTTTAAAATTTCAAAACACTTTGCAAATCCACTGATGGATGAAGGCCTCCTCATACCGTGTCCATCATCAAGAATTATTTGCGCATATTTCACCACGCCGGTCAGTGCAGACGAGTGAAGGGGGCCGGGAATTGAACAGGTTTTTTTGGGTTCACAGTACATTGCGCTGCTAACCCCTGTGCCACCACTCCCGCTATTATTATATGAATTGTAAATAATCAACTTTTCCGCGCATGATAAAATGCTAATTTCGTGAGTGAATCAATACATTTTAACTGAATAATCGTTACACGCCTAATAATTTATATGAATAGAGCTTAACTCTGGGCATGCTACTAAAGGTTGGCTTCTGTAGTCCACAAGCAAACCAAGCCATTTGTATGAAGCCCAGGCATCAGTAATGTCCGAGTATGGATTCAACTCTGATAGGTCATGACTAAGGCTACGTACGATTCTATCTTGGAGGTCGTAGTGGCCACAGAAATCGTGCGTTCGAACAAAGGTTTAAAGTAAATCTTGGGAATGGCTGGCGGAACACATGGGGTTCGGAACTTCCTTTACTTCCATTAAAAACAACGGTACTCTGGGTGGCGGTGGAAGGGGCACAGAGTCCCACCTTATGCCGCAACCTAGTTTTTCCCCATACCTTGGCCACGAATTTGATGAATAACTTTTTCCAAAAATCGGTACAATTCGTCACGATCCACACGCTCGCGACAGAACAACAAATTGGGCAAACTTGTTTCACAGCAGCCACCTGTCACGCCGTTACCTTGCCTGATGTTCGCGATGAGGTGCGTCGAGACGTTCTTGTTCTGGATTCGTGCGGAGGTCTGATGGGGAATCACATCGCGCATCTGGGCTTCACTGCTGATGGGAAAATAATGAGACAAAATTGCATTACACGCACACAAATGCACTGCAGTTTATCATTACGCCTCCATTAGCCTAACAGGTACGGCTATGCAATCGCTGCCTCATTCACCTCCATCTGCCAGTCTGAATGCACTGGGACTTGGCAAGTGGATTATTACTGTGGACAAATGTAATTTAAAAGTGAGCTTGACTGGTAGTGAACTGGCTCAGTCTTCTATGTAACATTAGTATTAATAATAATGCAGTTGTTTTACACAGTAAAATAATCACCAAGTCTCAAGACTCTTTTCCAAAGGAGGGTCCTGCCTTTTGGTGTTTAGTCAATTCTATTAGTGAGTGTTTGGCGTATTTGTGGGAAGCTGAAGTATCCAGGAAAATGCACACATACAAAGGGTGAACACTTGAAGCCCCCACAGGTTCAATAATCCATTGGTGTACTGCCATCTCCTGTCCATTCAATCAAATAACAGCCAAAGTATACAACTTCTGGCATTTTTAGGTAGCCTGCCATTAAAGTACTAAACAGGCTAAACCCTGCTTAGATTCCAAGATCTCACGAGGTTGGGTGCATTCAGGGTGATACGGTGGAAGGCATAAAAGAAAAATCCAATGTCAGGTTTGATATCTCAGCACCTGTAAGAACCTGGGTTCAAACCATAATTTGGTTGTGCGTGGTTAAGTACTAGACATGTGCATGTACAGCCCTTTTGTGAATCCATTGCTGGAAGTAACTTACTCATCTGCCTCTAATTGAAAAAAGAGCTTCATAACTTATCGGATTCCTCCAGCTTCAACAAAGGTCATTCATTCTGACAGTAATAAAGGCTTTTGTTGCAAGGCCCTCTTCGACTGACAATGTATCCCCATTAAAGGCATGTAACAATGCATCAATTTCAATCTATTATTAAACTACATTCAATGTATTAGGCCCACATTGAATCCAACGTTTCCAAGAATAAATTGTATACAATATAAGCAAATTATATACGAATATAATCTGGGGTGAATGGATTTGGGAAACAATGACAATACGGACAGTAATATAACACCCATAGATTCTTTCATCGAACCGTGACCCTCATCAACACATTTCAGAGGGGAGGTTGATAAGATTTAACAACGCAAGAAGATGTGCAGTGCATGCACAAAAACTCTCATACGAGCTTACAACAACTGAATGTGTATACCTTTCTCCCTTGAAAACCACCAACACTAAGAGTTAAAGAAATTATTTTTGCATGCCTTTAAAACGCAAAGGGTGTGCTTTGCTTCATAGCTTGACATGAGGCTGCATTGACTGTAGAGGGCTCCAGAACAGAGACTGCTTCAATGTTTATCTCTTTGCTAATAACGCACAAGAGGATATCAACGGTTTCAACATCAAAAAATCTCCCTGCGAGTGGAGCTATCAAAACGTTGGTGCAGTTCCCGCCGGTAGTAGACGAGCAGTCTGCACATCAAATGCCAAGTAGGTGCGGAGCAAGGCTCCGTGCCAATCGAAAAACAGGCAAAAGAGGTCGCCTTTAAACGTCTCTTAATGTGCAGCGGGGGTGGCATTCCAGACGGAGGGGGCTGCGACAGATAAACGACGCCTGGCAGTGAATATTCTAGTCCTTGATATAGAGGGGAGGAAGTGAGCCGCGCTCACAATGAAACACGAGATGAATTTAATCAAGCGAGCGAGCGCAAGTTTGCGAGCGCCGCTGCTCAAGAGCAGGCGACCGCACCTGACGGAGCTGGCCTCGGACTCCCAGTCGGAGTTGGGGTGGTCTGGCTCCCAATTGCACAGCAGAGTGGCGTAACCGCAGCCCGGCTGGGACACCATGAGCTCGGGGCTGCCGTCCACACGCGGGTTGGTCGAGAGGCTGTCCACCTGCGAGCGAGTCACCCGTCACGCACAAAGCGTTGACGTTGTCACGTTTCTCTTTAGTCTCTTTTGCAATGTTTCGTTGTTCAGTTGTCTTATTAGCGTCGTGTTACAAGACGACGGAATGTCCACATGGAATCCAGCAGCTAGAAGTGCTCCATCCCATGTGAGAGAATGGCCTGTGAAAGGTGATTTCACAGAACTGCTTTCAAGATCCCCTCAAATGATATTTATGCACACTAGGGGTGCCGCATTTTCCAACTGCTCTATAGTTATTAATCATAAAGCAGTCAAAGCCAACATTCTTAGAAATGAAAAACCAAAAGTAATTACATTTATTTTGCAGTCTTTGGTGACCAAGCCACTTACCCTGGTCACCAGTGACTGCAGAGAAAAACAAAACACCACTTGGGAGTGTTTAAGCAGCACGCACAGCTACGTACTTCCAACCGCAGAACATAACAGGCATCCCAGCGTTCTTTACATGTCAAGATGACATCACTATCTTTACACATTTTGTACCCAACCTTGTGAAAGTCGTTAGATTTTTGGGTCGTGTCTCCATTACATACATGCTGATGACCCTTTGCTTCAGAAAAATATTTCCTTCCAAAACGAGCAACCATGATTTTTAGCAGCACTGTATCATGGTTGGCATGGGCCATGGTGCGCAGAAAGAATCGGGAGCCCCCTGTCCAATATGCCCCTCTTTATAACCCAAGTGCCAGGGTCCCATCGCGCTCAGATGGAGTTGTGCAACCTATATATTTTTTTATTTTACCAGGTAACGCCCCACTGAGCTATACAGCTTTTTTCAGAAGCAACCTGGCTATCACAAATGATAGCTCAACGAAGTGACGAATCATGTGGTGATGTGTATCAGCCAAATACTCTAAACGCATGTTTCTAAATGTGGAGGAAAAAAACCCGAGGACCCAAAGAAAAATCCACGCAAATACCAATATATAGATGTCAGGGTGTAGGATAAAACCCCCAACTTCCTGTATACCAGGCGAGGTAGCTAACATCTTGCCATACTCGTTAGCTACACCACTGTTTTCAAGCCATCATCACCGCCTCTCGCGGTGATGTCGAGGTTGCAGCGAATGAAATACCTGTCCCTCTAGAAGCCACTTCTTCAGCTGAACGAAATGCCCCACAGGATTCTCAGGGCAGTCCCCGGCGCCGGCCTCCCAGCGGAGGGCGCGCACCACGCGGTCCGTGTAGCCCACGACCAGCTCACAGCGCCCGTCGCCGTCTGCGGGACGAGCACGCAGCCCAGCCACACGCGACGGCGGCAGCGCTCGTGAACAAAGCTTTAAACATTTCCCGTGACGCCGCATTGCCAACGGTGCACAAGCAAATAATAACGAACACTCACAACACATTCGTAAAAACCCCCTCTCCTCCGAAGAGGAAACATTCTGGATTTTTTCCCTTATATTTTTACGCAAAGAGTGGTGGGAGTCTGGAAGAGATTGATACAAACATGTTGAAAGTTGATGCACTGGGCCTTTTCTATAAGTGGCTTGATGCTGTACCAGAATATACCGGCTACGAACACTCAAACGAGATAGATGGACCACATTTCCACCCTCTCATTTGTAATCGTTCTTATGTTCTTTCTAATGTTCTTATAATAGGCAATATTTTGGGCAATAGCCCTTCCTCCTTGGTTAACAGGCATGTAATAATGCATCGATATTGAAGCTTTCACTCAAGATACATGCATCACACCATTCGAATGAGAACTGATCACCTACGACTCATCCAAATTGCATGCAAATGATATGTCACAGTTGGTAAGGCCACGTGCGTGGCAGAGACTAACACTGGAGTGGCAGCCAAAAGAAGGAATAAGTCCAAAAGTACATCCACCATGGCGCTAGACAGACTCATTCAATTTGTAACACAGGTTATAGATAGATTGTGGCATCGCAAGACAATGAGATTGCTATGGCTTGGGGAGGCCTTCATCCAACAGTGCATATATCTTGGCTCATGATGATGAATAATGCTTTAAGTTACATTTAGTTTAATCGAACTATACAGACGTGACAAAACTAATTATAAAAAAAAGTTTGACTCCTGAAATTAATCAAAACCCAACATGTGATAATTAGGAAAATTGTTGAGAGGCAGAGGGATGAGTCATTACATAGCTATTACTTTACATCCTACGGTCAAATTCTACGGAGGATGGCATGAATGTGATTTGGCAAGTGTATTCAGGAGCGCATAAATAAGTTAACCATTTAGCACATTAGGCAAGCAGTGTTCCCACAAGGACTGGTTCTGCTGGGTGTCAGCACACCCTTGTGGCCCACGGGATAGATGCTATTCTATACTCTTTGGTTCTTTCGGTAAAGTCACGTAGGTATAAAATAAAATAAATCAAAACGTTTCGGGCGCAACACAATCGTCCGTCATCAGGTGGGAAATCAAATCAAGATTAAATTATATTCTGTAGAGTACGCCGACTTTTCGGCATAAAATGCAAAACTGCTTTTGAATTATTAAATTACATCAAGCAAGCGTGTATATTTTAAACCGTAACATATGTTTCGCTGCGTTTTTTCCCCATCCCTGCTTTTTAATGTCATCTTTTGTACCGCACTGCCAGAACATTCTGATCTGCCACACCAATAAATCAATAACAGTTGCTTTACACGGCAATTTGTAGACAGCGTGCGGCAGAAGGCATGCTTCTGCCGGTTCTTGTTTGCCAAGTTACCAGCATGGCTCAGCGTTCGTATATTTCTTCCAAGAGAGGCTCGATAAAAAAAGAACTAAAAAAAGAACTAACCGATGTCGCTGATAAGCAGGACTTTGGTGTTGGCGGGGATGTGCTGTTGCAGAGTTGGCCTGATTGTGGTGGGCTGCGGCGTCTCTTCTGCAGCAGGGGCATCTTGTGCCGGGTTTGATAGCCACGGCAGAAAGAACACGTGGCACAGGCCCTCGCCACTCACCGACACCACGAAGTTCTGCATGGTCAGGGGTCAGATAGGACATCAGTGACGACTACCATCATGACAGGTTATTCATCATTTAATAAATATGATGCAAACATTGTGTATTATGTGGCGCTTTCCAACATGCTTAATTCAGAAGTATTTCAATCGCACTTTGGAAGGCAGCTGTCAAGGCAAACAAAACAAAAATTTCTACCGGTTTGGGTCAGAAAATTTGGCGCGATGTTTTGATCAATTTAGACATTTTTCATTTAGGTATAACTTCTCAGTAGCAACACAACTTTATAGGAAAGTATTTCTCATATTGGCTCATTTGGATGAGTTAAAGTATGCCCCCACCCTCCACCATCCTTTACAGAGCTATTGCATAATGCTTTCAACCATCACTGTAAATCATTTTTTAAAAAGTTCCAACGCATAAAAGGTGACACTAAAATAGATTGCTGAATAAGAAGTATCCCATATTCTCCTACACATTTAGTTTTACACGTTTCAATATTCCTGTGGCTAGTGTTGTGCAATTAAATATAATGTAGCTGTGTATTACCTTTCCCTGGTTAAAGACGTCTCCGATACCAACACAAGTAATCTGAAATTGAGAAAATAAATAATGGCAATTATTTTTTGAACTTCAACCTATATTGCAATTTCCACATGAGTAAAAACAAATACAGATAGTCCCCGAGTTACGATGGTCCGACTTACGATATTTCGATCTTACGATGGCGATACGACAAAATTGTAAAATATTTTACATTTCGCGCGGCAGGCAAACGCAGCAGCGTACGAGGTACGATACTGTACGTTGGGATGCTGCCGGGATGTACGCATCTCACGCCTTGTGTGATGCAGATAGGATTGTTTCCTGAAAAAACTTTCCATTCAATTGCAGTTCATATAGGTAGGCTCAGAATTGACCTTGTTTTTTTACTTTACATTTTATTGTGCAATACAGTATTGTAATTCATAAATACATACAGTATATAGTTTATACAGTACGGTACTGTACATTTCTCTGATTTGCTAAATTATCACCATTCTTTAAGAATCTTGGGTAGGCTGGGCCATCTTCGACTTACGATATTTTTGACTTATGATGGGGTCGTCGTAACGCATCTCCATCGTTAGTAGAAGACTACCTGTAATTAGTAGAGTTGAGCCATCGCTCCCCTAGAACATTCCCCAAGATGAGAAATGTCCCAATATTTGTGAAACCTATATCCCTTGAAAATGTGAAAAAGGCTTTAGTGTCAGTGGACTATTACCATGAAATTTACTGTACACCACGTTAAATAACCTACGAATTACATGCTAAATGCCATTAACATTGGCTGTTGACATTTGGGCTACGTCCATTTAAAACCTTTATAAACGGTTTGCCTTTAGAAGCTAACCCCCTCTTCCTGATGGCAAACGCTTGTGTTGCGATCGAAACGTCCTAGTTTTTTGTTATTTTCTTTGAACCTATAGACGATACTTTACCGAAAGACCCAAACAATATGAACTACATCTGGCTGAATGTTCATGTGGGCCTTGCCACACGTTTTCAAGTTTCAAGTTCATGTTGTTATAGCCACGTGATAACTCAAAGAGGCCCTGGTTTGGTCCATTTGCAAGAGTGATATGGGTTAGATGTCCTTACCATGCCCAGGGAGCTGCTGCTCAGGCAAGGGCTTCTGCCGTCGCCTTTGTACACAGAAAGGCGGCCGCTCGTGTCTCCGACCACCAACTCATTAAGCTGCAAAACACAGAGGGAGCCACCAGCATCAGCTTAAAACTCTACGGGCGTGCGTAGCTTGAGAAGCTAATTGCATCGAGGGAGTTCTTAGGGGAGGTCAAGTAATCGGTAGCCTGTGCATGTTAAGTAGTGAGAGTTGTGTGTTATGTAATTATATAGTTGTGGCCTTGGTCGTTGCTCGCTAACAGCACATGTCAAATTCAATAATTTGCAAGGCTAAATAGAGTGTCTTATATAACTACTCGATCCGAGTTATAACTGCTCTGATACCTGCATTATCTTTGTGCTGTTCACCTTTTAGCGATCTCTGCTCTGACACTGGTGTGACGAGGTCATAACGAAGGCTGTCTCTGGTGTCGGATAATCAGTTTCAAAGGCAATGCATATGTTATCAGAAAATGTGTGTTTGCACGTTTTTACATAAGTATGTGTGGTTCATTCAGATTTAATCTCTTGCAAAAAGGTGCCTGAATATCTTAACACCTCTTTTATGGCCAGAAAGGGTACGACCGATTTTCATTTTTCATCATTTTTGATACTGCCAAAAAAGGTCCCGTAGATAAATGGAGTGTCTTTGTTAATTCGTCAAACACAGCTGACGGTGCCATTTTTTTTGTTTGATGCATTTTTTAAAGGTTTAAGACAACATCGTGCCGAATGCGCCCCATCGCCACGTCAGATCTCGGAACATATGCAGGGATAAGCCTGGTTAGTGGTTGGGTTATTATGTTTACCAACCATGCACAGACTGGGTGCCACAGTCAATTTTATTTTTGCTTAGGGGCCGTTCATAAATGACGTCACGCGATTTTGGACGATATTTGACCCCCCCCTCGTCACACGGCGTCATAAAAAGTCAGACCCCCCTCAAATATGACGTCACAAAGTTCTGCCCCCCCCCCCTCAAAAAACACATGCTTCAAATCGCTTTAAACGATTGATTGACGTGCGTATTTAATGTGGCGCTGCACTCTGATGTTGTTGGAGAAAATTAATTAAGTAGAACGTGTTGTCTATATTAATTTAAAGTTGCGCATTTTGATGTGACGTCACATTTCTCACCCCCCCCCCCTCGTCACACATCGTCACAAATGTCTGACCCCCCCCTCCTAGGTGCGTGACGTCATTTATGGACGGCCCCTTACACACCTGTGGCACATTTTTGGCATAAATCTGCCACTCAAGGCGACACCGCATTCATACTCAAACATACAAATAGAAAACGTTATATGAGAAGATAAAATCTATATATACTATCTATGGTTGTTTAATATATATACAACTTGTTGGGTTGAGGGCCGTAGTGATGGGACAGCCAATTCCATTGTTGGACTGTACTTCTACGCTGCCAAGGCAATGCCCGCTGCACTCGCTGCCTTCACCAACCCGCATAGTGACCAGCTTGATTAGACCATACTTCAAATCTAGATAGATTATGGTCAATTACCCCTTGTCACTGACAACATTAGTGTCGGCCAGACATACACAACATTCAGTGTGTGGCGATCATACATCACTGTGTGTGCGTCCCATCCTGCTTTAAGATGGTTTTACTGCCCCGCACCTCCGATTGGTTACGTACGGTGCGAAAGAAGTTCACCATACAGTATATGCATTCCTATTAGGTAGTATTCGCGTGTTAAATTAAGGGTAATTTGACAGCATGCATCTCACCGCAACACGATTACCCTAATTATGACAATCGTGTCCACCGTGCACAGCACTACCACGGCTCCCTCAGGCAGCGGTAAAACTCTACCCCATCGTTGTCGGCGTCTCCCAGGCACATGGCGTGCGGGAACAGGTTCCCGGAGAACTCCAGCGCGACCCGCTCCACAAACGACACCGTCCGCATGTCCGCGGCCCGAGTGAAAGACCCTCGGTTGATGTACGGGGCCCTGCGCCGGGGGAGACCACGGCCTCGCCTAGAAGCGCTGCCGGAAAACAGGCGCCCAATCCCCGCCGCCCACGACGCCGAGGGCGCCCTGGGGTGGTCGAGACGCCGAGCGCGTCGGTCAAAAAAACGCAATCTTATTCACTGTTGCACAAAGGCACGCGCTTGGTACACGCTCGACGCTTAACGCTCTGGCTTGTGAATTGTTAACGTGGGAGGATATTTGTGGGTAATTCAGTGTAAAAGTTGTGTTTACTGTCGAGACACCACGTGGGTGTGTACCCCGTGACGAGGGTGACGTCATCACCCCCCCCCCCCGCGCTCTCTGCCCCGGTCAACCTCCTCTATGGCCATCCATGGAAGCCTTCAATCCAGCAGTGGATGACCATGGCTTAACGATGGTGATGCAAAATCAATGCGGAATTAAAGCCCCTTTCATAAGTGCGTACAGCAGACAACTTTATGCAGAATCAAAAATATAAGGGTTGGCCAGGAGATTTGCAGTGGAAATGGATTATTGAATCAATCTGTGCGGTGTTTTGAGTCTTACCTCTTTACCCTTTCTCTATTTGCACTCCAATAAAACAATTATTCTTCGCTGTTGCTGTAGCTTGCTCACCTCCCCTATTGGATATCTGTGAAAAAGAGCTTAATAGTTCATCGGATCCCTCATGCAGTCTTCATAAACATTCTGATACAAATACAGGACCAACCTTTCAAAAGAGCATTGAGACGCGGTGTATTGGCTAATTAGGGGGAATTAAAAGTACATTAAAATAATCTTCGGAAATGGAGAAAAATTACACATTTAAATGAGGTGCACGTTGTAAATTTAGAGACATTTTAAACAATTGCAATCTTTCACATTGTCCAAAAAGTAAATGCCACAGCTCATTAAAACTCAGTGGTAATGAATAGTTTTAAGATAAAACGGATGGCAAATTGTTTCATGTATGAGAAACATTGTGATTGGAATACAAATTACCAAATGTGTTTATTTTAGGAGCACGAAGAGAATATTCAGGCATGTCATAAATTTGCCTGAGGTGTTAGTAAAAATGTTTTAAGGCTGTACGCTTTACCGGAAGATTTTATTTGTAAATGCCTTAAAGACAAACATCACCATCATCTGTGCAGTTCGATCCACTGCTGAACTCACGGCCTCTCGAAGCCGTCGCCACCTCTCGTCCAGCGAGAAAAGCGGTTGGATGAGAGGACGTGCACGCTGGAGATGGAGCGATGAAAGCAGCCTTTGTGCATGAGCTACACGGATTGTAGACAATCACAGGGCAATGCCCGTGCCTGTCTATTGCCAGTGGTAAGTATACAGTCTGATACTGGTAGGAACCTCCTGGTTACACCAGCCCACAGGGGATTATTGTGTCCGTCCGTCCGTCGTGAATCCAAAAGTGGGGGAGGTGGGGCTGGGTGGAGAGGAGAGGGTGGGGTGGGGCTGAGTGGGGAAAATGAGGAGGGGCTGGGTGGGGAGGGGAGGGTGGGGCTGGGTGGGGAGGGGCTGGTCACCCCGTGGTGCCCTTATAAAACTCAACTTTAACCTACTCACGCCGGCTTGTGGCCGCCCTCACAGTCGGCCATATTTGCGGAATACACCACGCCGCCGTTGACCCTGGCCATTGACCGAGCAACCCAACGTTCCTACCAGCTCCCTCCGCAGGAATGTGTTTATAGCGATCACAGTCATGCACCTCACAGTTCAACATTGTTTTTGTAAACACACACACATAACCACAAGGGCAGTTGGGTCCAGACTATTTCGGGCTGTTTAATTGTCTGGCTGATTAATTTATTACGCAGTGCTCATCTCGATTCGCAGCCTAGAGACAGCGGTGGAATTTACACATTCCCATGGCAGACCCCAGTCAATTAATGTAAATCACTATTGACAAAGCAGAAAGTGGCACTTTTTTAACTACCGCGCAGGTTGAACTTAACATGTCAGAATTATAATCTTTATTTAGACCTATCCCAACTTTAACCTGATGCCAGTCCCAAGGAATGTCTGACCCTGTTTCACTTGGGATGCTGAAACGCCAAATTTCATTAAAATCTAATTCAAAAGGTCTCCCAGTTTTCATTTGATTTCCATATAGTCCATGGACCAAAGCAAAACTAATGATACCACTCGAGTCTCCAGCAGCGATAGAGCGGCGAGATCAGCTCATGTGCGAGTGCTAGATCGTTGTCTGCATCGTGGGACCACGAGAGTTGGTGATGGCTTGGGGAGGCCCTCATCCAGCAGTGGATCGATCGTGGCTGTTGCTGATTATGACGAGGAGGCACAACTTTCGTGGTTACATGTACGGCCCATTTGTCGACCCCCACGTGCCGGCGTTAATTTAATGACATTTCACCACGGTACCAAATGATTGACGTGACAATTACGTCACCAAAAGACCCAAAGAATATAAATAAAGTGCATGTTGTGTTAGCACAACTTACTTTCAAATGTGATCACATAGCTCACTTTAATTCATAATAAAGGATTTTGAGTCATATCGCGTAAGTATTTAAATGTGCCGTAACCCTCCATCACCAGACACAGCCAGTAAGGTTTGTCACGTAAACAAAACGTGCCAATTAATGACTACTTCAGCCCACCGGTGTGGTGGAGAGTAAAACTACAACACTTACAATACCGGGGGATTGGTAGCAAACCACTAATATATTGTCCAACTTCGTTGCGACTGAGCAGTGATGCATCATATTTTATTTTGGTTTATAGAATACTGTAATAAAAACACTAGATTCGTTAATGACACCGTCGGAAGCGGTCAAGTATATGACAGGCGTCGTTTGGGGCATTGTGCCTTCATAGCATGTGTTATTACCAGAAATGTCGGCGATAATGTTTTTATTTCCTTTTAAGGCTACAGCATTTTGACAAATTCCCCAGAGCACCTGTGCACCACTGCCAACGCAGAATCGTCAAATACATTGCTGAATATTTTAATCCAGAGTGGTCGAGGAATCCCTATCCCTGTTGTGTTAGCAGAGCTCCGCTCAATGCACAGAGGGGATGGAGAGGACAGCGACTTCCCCGGCCAGCCCTTGAATCTCGCGAGGAGGCCACCTCAATGCGGGGAAGAGTTGTGGGGACGAGAGAGAGCGCTGTGGGACCGTCGTGAGGGCTCGTGGCGACCAATGGAGGCCGTGACGATGAATCATCATCGCACCGCTGGCTCACGAGGTCACAACTTGCAGATGATAATCAGTTCATAACTTTTCTTAACAACAACATAATAATAGGGGGTTTTCTCCTTTTTTTCTGGCAACAAAACTGAAACCTTTTTACAAGGATTAATGTCTGCATTAACCATAATACTTGCAGTCAAAATGCAAACAAAAAACACACTATGATAATATATGCATTGTCCTTGAAACTGATTGGTCCACACCAAGGGACGGCTTTCTTTTGAGCCTCGACCCAATTGGTGCTCGACCAGAGGACGCCAAAAGGCGTACAGCTCAAAGACAATGCACTATCAAAGTAATGAGGGCTCGGGGTGAGCATCTACATCATTAGACCTCCTTTGCCAAAGGAGGTCTAATGATGTAAACAACAACAACAGCAGATAAACAGACAATATATCTCCTCCACATACTTGCACCACCACCCTCCCCAAGCGGTGTTTTTTCAGCCATGATTCAACAATCGTATTTCTTGTCTTGTTTTTGTATCTAGTCTCTGCGTCCCCCCCCCCTACCTTCACCCTAACCGTAACACGGGCATATTATTTGCACGTAAATTGAATAAAATAGCAAGTAACTTCAATGCACTTAAGTTGACGAATGCATCGCGAGTGTAACGATTTCAATCGTTGAATAAATTTACCATTACGCGTCGAGTACATATCACACGTGGGTTTATCACTTTGGAATGCACAGCCTGTTATTAATCGGGAGCAGCAGCAGTAGCCCACACCTGTGGATTACGGAGTTACCGTGGTCTGCATTGCACTTCCCTCCACTGCCCTCCTATCTCACGCTGCCACTAGACAATGCCACCGGCGGAGGCAATTACCATCATCGTCATCAGCCATGATCAATCCACTGCTGGATGAATGCCTCCCCAAGCCTTTGTTGCATGTATGATCCTAGATTGAAGTTTTCGTGACTGCAAGGATCCATACTCTAAGGTCACGTAGGTTAAAAAAGAAAACAAATAAATTGAAACACGACGTTTCGGAAGCAACACAAGCTTCCGTCTTCAGATGGAACCGTCACCTGAAGACGGAAGCTCGTGTTGCCTCCGAAACGACGTGATTTAATTTATTTCTTTTTTAACTTTACGTGACTTTACCGAAAAAAACAAAGAGTATGTATGATCCTGTTTTACCAATTTCCCGGCGATCTTACACGGGAGATCCGTGGCGGTGCGCGAGCACGGCAGCAGTCACATCAACGAAACAAAAATATAAAAATTGCAGAGAAACGGGGAGAGCAGGGGGTCCTTAAGGAATATACCACAACCAACAAATGAGGTTGTTTAACAGCCGTAGAGTAATTCACCTGGCACTTCGCGCACAAACTATATTTCAACACTGATATCACCCCCTCCCATCCCCCGGTCATCTTACCAGAGGCAATAATCCCTGCCTCAATGTCTCCCCTTCTGCCGTCCGCTTAAGCGGCAGCAGCAGCAGCGTGCGGTCCTCTCGTCGCCACGATACTCGGCCCCGCGGGAGCGACTCGGCAGAGGCGGCCGCTCAAGCGGGCATCGCACATTTGTCGCCGCTAATTGCCTCGCTCGGCGTGCATTTCTCTGTGGCAGATGTTTAAAAGCAAAAAAAGCCACAGCCTCGCGAAGGACGCGGTAACCGGTCTAAAAATACCAATTTGTTGTCGCATTAACGCTCGTGCGAAGTGCTCTAATAACCCCGTCGCCTATCGTGCGGGCTTGAGGTTCACACCTCGGCAGTGATGCACGCGTCATCTGGTTGTGGATCGGTGACGTTATCCGGGATGGTTACGCCGCTGCTGCACGTGGCTGCCTCCAGTGCAGCGCTGTGGGGGCAGCAGCGAGGGTTGGGTGGATCGCCATGCACACACACACATGCTGTTGTTGTTGTTGTGAACTCCCTCGTGGTCGTCGAGGTGCCGTACCCCGGCTCGCCAGGAGAAGGCGGTGCAGCAAGTGGACTCATCGCCATCTGTCTCCATCTGTACGAGGATCGAGCATTGCCCCCTCGCGCAAAGCGTGGGGGTTCTCCGGGTGCTCCGGTTTCCTCCTCCCCACGTGTTGTATAATGAACGCAACT